TTTTGAAGAGCAGATTTTTAGTCCACTATCTCTAGGCTAAAATAGGATTTTCTTTTTCTTGCTGATATTACTGTATTATGCACCCATTGCAAATGAAAGAAAATGAATTTGACTTCTATATGGGAAGAAGCATTGGCTAAAACAAACTGAAGGATCAGGTAAGAGTTTCACTTTCTACTTTTTCAATGGGACTTTGTGACCTTTCCTAATAGGAATGAGTAGAACGTCACTACGTTGGACTTTGCACGAGAAAATAAGCTTTATCTTGGATGTTTTCCATAGACTTCAACCATGGCTGGGTTGTTTTTTTTTTAGAACAGTTTCAATGACTGGAGCACTACCACATTATTACTTTACTGTTTCAATTGGAAAGTTTCAGTTTTCTGACTAGGGGCTGTTTTTTACTTCTTCTGAAGAAAATAAATAGAAAAAATAACATACAGAAGAAAGAGCACCTGATCAGCATTCTTTTTTACTACCTTTCAATAAAGAACATCCCAAAGATGCCAAAATAAGAGAGATACTATGAAAGTATCAAATGAGTCCCTGCCAGACATTGCATATGCAAAATACTGCCCCACTGAAGCGAGCTAGATGACTGCATGACAAGATTTATTCTTCCATGTATTCTGCTCAAAGCCCTGCCCCACAGAACATTTAAATCGAAAGGATAAAGTGGTTGAGTAGACGCCAAATCCACAAGTGTCCGCTATGAAAATTTGAAACATTGCAGGGGGCTGGATTAGATGACCTTTGAAGGTCCCTTCCAACACAAACTATTCTACTTTTCTAAAATTAATTACTTGTATTCAATTCCCTGAACCTAAGAGAAAATGCTTAAAGCTAAAGTGTGAAAAAAAAAGAAATCTTGAGAAGTTAAATCTCTATTTGTATTCACACACATATTTTTCAAATACTGACTTGAGCTATCAGCATGAAGTACCTAGACATATGGCAGTATTAGGTAAGAATGAGAAAGCCTGCTATTAACACTCCAAGGTGAGAGTGTGATTATACAAAAGGACTGTTTCCAACAAGCAGGTTGTACTTAATTAGCAATGGGCATGGAATGACCATGAAATCAATCCAGGAAGCCACATTCCCCACATCAGCATGATTTGTTACGAACAGTATCCATGCACAGAAACACAGCTAACACACCATTTTAAAACAAAAAGCAGAAAACTAGAGCTTTAAAGACAAGCGTGCTGCCTACCAGGAGACCAGGCACAACATGCACCAAGTAAAGTAACAACATTGCAGTCATTCACAGCCAAATCTGAGGGAACTGAGGACCACAAATCATTCTATCAGACTTCATAAACAGACCTTGGGTGAGCAGTTACTTAAGTGTTGAATCAGGCTTCTTCTGCTCTTTTTGTGCCACATGAAAACCCTACATGCTTGCTTCTGCCTTTCTCGGTCTCTCTTATTTCTGTACCTTAGCACAAAACTTGCCTACTGACTCACATGAAACAGAATGAAATAGTATCCTGACTGGTTCCGGTTTTATCATTCAATCTGGTATTTTCCAGCTTTGAGGTGGGAGTTGGGAGGGCGAGAGGAGGAGGTGGAGCTGATTTTGCCCTCTGGAAATGGAATAAAAACTAGTTCCCATGCTTGCTACCACAAATCTGTGTTGTTATGACCTGTCCCACTATCCTTTCTTAAGATTCCTCAACGCACCCTTGCCTGGAGACAGGCCTTTCCATTCCCTACATGCACAGCTAGCTAAGACTGCTGTCAGGTTTTAATCTGTGATCTTATTTAAGGACTTGATGAATATATATAAAGAGTATAAATATTGCATGTTATTCTTCTCTTTTGGAAGACCTTTTCTGGAGTGAAAAACATTTATGTTCTGCCAGATGCAAGAAAAATGTCTTCTAAATTAAGCATAGATATATATGCATGATTGAAGTGAATGCATCTCATACTTACCGTCTGTATGTAAAAGCTTGGTTTTGACTGAAAGTTCTGCCACGGAAATGTGGCTTGCACAATTGGCATTTTGTCCCTAACTTTTAAAGGCTGAAAGCATAAACTTTCTGTAATATTCTCAACTCTGTGGATAGCAGTAAATGCGTAAAGTAACACAGGAAAACATAGACGTGTGTTGTGTTCTCATTAAGCTTTCTAGACTTACGTGGAAATCAGAGGTTTGCGTCTGGGTATCCATAGTAGTGAACTTCAGTGGTGGGTATCTACAAGGAGAGGAGGGAGAAGTGAGCAAAACCAGAGATCAGGAGTAGCCAAGACTTGTCCAAAAGCAGTAGCTCAGATGTGGGGAAAAGGAGGCAGGGAGAGGGAATGCTTAATTCATGACACACGTATTGACAACTCCTTGGTGTGAAGGTCAGTGGCAAAAATCTAGCATGGTGCCAAATATTACAAGGAAAATCGTGTCTCAAAAGACAGAGGTTTAAAAACGGGGGAGTAGGGGGGTGGGGTTGTATTTTTATTTCACCTCATAATATCATCGTCCTTGAACCTCACAAGTTGGTTGCACAGAAAGTTCTTATTTGAGACAAGCATTTACCTAGTAAATTCCTACATAGTAGATTCAGCAAGGCCAGGTGCAGGGTCCTGCCCTTGGGTCATGGCAATCCCAAGCACAAACACAGGCTGGGTGGAGAATGGATGGAGAGTAGCCCCGGGGAGAAGGACTTGGGAGTGTTGGGTGAGCTGTTGGAGCAAGGCCAGAGGAGGCCACAGAGATGCTGCGAGGGCTGGAGCAGCTCTGCTCAGGAGCCAGGCTGAGAGAGCTGGGCTGGTTCAGCCTGGAGAAGAGAAGGCTCCTTAAGGGGAGACCTCAGAGCAGCTCCAGTGCCTAAAGGGGCTGCAGGAGACCTGGAGAGGGGCTTTGGACAAGGGCCTGTAAGGACAGGACAAGGGGAATGGCTTTGACCTGCCAGAACAGGGGAGACTAAGATGAGCTCTTAGGCAGAAGCTCTTCCCTGTGAGGGTGCTGAGGTTCTGGCACAGGGTGCTCAGAGAAGCTGTGGCTGCCCCATCCCTGGCAGTGTTCAAGGCCAGGTTGGACACAAGGGCTTGGAGCAACCTGCTCTAGTGGAAGGTGTCCCTGCCTGTGGCAGGGGTTGGAACTGGATGAGCTTTAAGGTCTCTTCCAGCCTAAACCAGGCTGGGATTCTATGATAGGTCTTGTAAGAACACACAAGTGATACGTTATATTTGTATATATGCATATTTTAAATTCAGCTGAACAGATGATCTGGGGAGAGTTGCAGGCTTGAAAAGTGACATTGTTACTGCAAAGAACTAATGAACAAAGAATAAGACTGAATATATTGCATTCTCTGGAGAGTCATGCTTCTGAGTTTATGTGCAGTATTTGTAATCTGGTTTTGAAATGGGGAATTGAGTAGTTGTCCCCCAAGTGTTGGATGTTTATTCAGTGTATTGGGACACAGCTGCCTTTGGAAAGTGTTCCATGCCAAGACTTCCTGAAGGTTCACATTGATGTGCTGTGCTTTGCTGTTTCATAGATGTTCCTTCCCTGGAATGCTAAAAATCACTTCTGTTTCTTGTTAAAATAGGAACTTCCCCAGAGCTATCTCTTGACTAAAATTGATCAGCCTATTTAAATTAAATTAGTGCTCCAGAGCCTCGTGCTGAGCATGACCCAAGCAGGTACAGAGCTGGTACCGTAAAATATGGAGCTTTGCGTGTAGTCATCATCAAGGTTAACCCCTGTAGGTATGGGGCAGAGAAATTACTTCTAGATATATCTGTATGTATGTATCCATATGTCAGATGTGAATGTTTGCCATGTGCCCGAGTTTCACAGCCCGTGGTTGCAGCCTTAGGTGGATACTTAATGAAATAATACATCTTGGTTTTTCAAATTGAACGGTTTTGTTCTGTAATTGTTCTGTAACAGCTTCCACATAAAAGCAATGTGATAAGACAAACGCATAATCACAACGCTTGCTTTTGGGCCCCTTGTAGCTATGTGTAAGCGTAGCCATTTTGTATTTGTTTTTCAAGAGTTTGACTCTTTAGGCCATAAGTTAAAGTGTATTTTTGGTCTGCCTCATTTCTCCTTGATATCTGTTCTCATGAATTTGCTTTCTACTTAAGGCTTCTCTTTTGACAGCATTGGAATGTGTCTGTGTGAAAGAGAAAAATCTGCTGAAGGCAATTTAAAACTACTTGAATACATTAAACTTTATCTGCAGTGTGGTCTTGATTGAGCACTAAATTCCTCTTTAATCTCAGTTTTGGCTTAAAAGTAAGAAAATATACCCAGTAAGCATATTAGGGTAATTTTTGTTTTCAGGAAAGTAGAAACACTTTGTGTCTCTTCCCTAATTCTTCTTGCACATTTTGCCCCTGCTTTCTATTTTGGATTACTTACATTCTTTTGTGAAAGCTTCAAGTGTGCATTTTCCACTTATTTTTCCATTTTCCCATTTCAGGATGAAGAGTCCAGTGCTGTTGCCAGTTCATCTCCATTTAGATTTCCCCATAAAATGAAACTAAATCAAAGCCCAGGATAAATATACTTGGTATTCTGTAACTTGAGTACAAGAGTTTTCAGGGTGTTCTTCCTAAGTGATACTTTGAAAGCCTCTTTGGGCTGATTTCATGAGAAAATATGTCAACTTGACCCTTAACTTTAGAAACTGTTGCCTCTGAGCTTAATTTGAGTGGGGGACAGGCATGTTTATTCAATCCTACTACACACCCTTGAAGGAGAAACAGTTGGTATGAGTTGTCACAGCTTCAGAATTGCAAACTGTGTTACTCTGACTTAGCTTTGGACCTTCCTGCTGCCCAAGAAGTGCTGCTTCCACTGCATCTGGGAGCTTAATCCTTTCTTCAAGCTGAGTGGTTGGGCTACACAGGACTACAGCCATAAGGGCCATCATGTGCAATTCAGCCTTTGGATTTGAGCATTGATGCTTTCTGTGGTTTTAGAAAGGAATAATGGTTAAACTTAATCTCTTAACCTTTTTTTCTTTTTCTCTCCTATGTAGATGTCCACACGGAAGCAGTACAAGCAGCACTGGCAAAATACAAAGAGAGGAAGATGCCCATGCCTTCAAAAAGACGGTCTGTTCTTGTACACTCTTCAGTAGAAACGTACACACCTCCAGGTATCTATTGAGTTAACCTACGTAAATCTTGCCAGGTGAACGTACTAGCAAATATAAAGAGCAAATGCTTTGTAAGTATGTTGCAGTAAACCTCTTCTATATTCATGGCTGCATTTCCTGTTGGTTGGATTTGTCCTTTGATGGCTTTCCTCAAGATTTTTAGTGTCTCATCTAGAGATACTGTAGCTGCTGAAAGTACACTTGAAAGCAATCCCAGAGTGAGCAGTTGCCCATCATGCATTAGGTATGCTCTCTGAGGTAGTGCCTTGCTTGGAAGGAGATCATCTTGGCAAGAATGTCAGAGCTGTAAATACCATATTCCACGTTGCATAAGCTTCTTTTTTTAAGAGTTGAAGAAAATGCCAGAGCATGAAGTTGCTGCATTGACTTGCAGAACATCCATCAGGTGGTTTCAGCGGTGAGGAACTTAAAACTTCCCCAAAATCAGATGCTCTAATTCAGCATCAGATTGGTTAGGTCAGAATTCTTTATTAAGGGGGAAAAAAGTAATCTTCCTGTTGTCTCACAGTGAATTCTCTAGAGATTAGGAAAATCTTTCTCCAGATGACATGTGCTAGCACGCCAAGTGTTTTCAGGGCAGTGTCTCGTATAGAAAGAGGAGGAATTGCCCTAAGCTCTGAAGTTTTGAATGATGTGCTCTTGTCTTTCCTGATGAGTAGAAGCACACTGACCTCTAGTGCCCTTCCCCATCTGATCTATTTCTTATCCCCTTTCTGTAAAAGAGCAGGTCTGGTATGCTGCTCTCTTGCTTCTTCTTTCTGTTCTTCCTATTTAAAGGAAATTTCACTTTTCTTTGCTAGTGGCACTTTTACATATTATTTTTGTGGGTTCGATGGTTATTTCATTAGTTAGTAATAAGCTGCTTTTGTAGTCGTATATATGGTCTTTCTTCACCCTTACATTTTGCTGGCAAGATATGTTAAGGTGTTGTGCTAAGGATTAGCTTACTCTTCTAGTACTTGCATACTCAGAAGCCCATGAGGGCAGTACTTGTAGCAGGGTGGTTATCGTGCACTCGAGTTTTCTCACATCCATGTTAGTTTTGTATGTGAAAGTTGTCATGAATTCCATAAAGTGAAATCCTGGAGAAAATGAGCTTACAGTGACCATCTGTATACCAAGGCTTTGAGAGAGAGGCCCTGAGGTTTCTGTTTATAGCTCTTCAAATCAGTATTCCTTCTCAGGAACAAGCATCAGTGCATTTTAGGTAGCATCACTCTGTTTCTCTCATTCTCTTGGTGTGACAAATTGCTGTATGCTTGGCATGAGGTTTAGCACGACAAAAAAAGAACACACCACTGTTCTGCCTAGGATTTAGTGCCCAGAAAAGAGCTGGCATCCAGAATCCTGCTGAGAGCAAAGGACAGCAAGTCGTTCCTATCTTCCTTAACATTTAAAACCAGAAGGAATCTCCTTGCGCTTGTTTTTGAGAGAAACAAAATATCATTCTCTTTTGAATCCCTTCAGCATTTGAAGAAGGGTTAGTACAGTTCCTGCTGAACCCGCTCTGCCTGAGCTCAGGGCTCTGTGCTGCTCCAAAGAAGCAAAATCTTGAGGAAGTTGAGAGACTCTCTAAAAGCAAATGGAGATGCTGTGGTGAAACGTTAGGTTATGTGATAAAAGCTGGGCTGCACACCTTTGCAGAAGCACAGAGAGTGGCAGGTAGGGGAACACAAACAATATGCTGCCCAAGCTAATCCCAGGAGGCATCAGCCTGTTGCAGATCCATTTCCACAAGCCCAGGAGAGCCCTGGGAATAACAGAACATGAAATCTACTTGGAGTCACTCTCTCCAGGGCTGTCCCTGCAGAGCCTCAGCACCCCTGTCCAGGCATGAAACCCATCCAAATTAGTCAACACTAGAGCACCTTCTGAACTGAGGCGGTGATGCTGCAGAGGAGTACAGGGCACATTCTGCAGGGCAGAAGTACTTTGGGACTGTGTGAGACTTGTTACGGGGTGTCTAAGTGAGGAACCACAGATGGGGAGAGAGATAAATTTGGGTGGTTTGGGGAGGAACAAGCGTGGGGTAAGAAGATAAAAAGGTTATAAATGGTATGCATGTGACCCTGCAGTCTGTCACCTCTTCCTGTTACACTTCATTTCCAGTACTTCTTCTGGGTGATGGACTGTACATTCTCTGTGTGTGGATTGGCTGAGTCAGTGAGACTACATGAGCAAATCACAGAATCCCAGACTGGTTTGAGTTGGAAGGGACCTTAAAGCTCATCCAGTCCTAACCCCTGCTACGGGCAGGGACACCTTCCACTAGAGCAGGTTGCTCCAAGCCTCTGTGTCCAACCTGGCCTTGAACACTGCCAGGGATGGGGCAGCCACAGCTTCTCTGTGCACCCTGTGCCAGCGCCTCAGCACCCTCACAGGGAAGAGCTTCTGGCTAAGAGCTCATCTCAATCTCCCCTGTTCTGGCAGGTTAAAGCCATTAAATGAAGTGGGACTGCAGCCTTGGGCTCCTACATCTGGGTGCCAGCACTGGGATGATGAGGATCCAGGAAGAGCCACTTGGCAGGCTGTCTTACGTCCAGCTAGCTGCTTGAGGGGTCCCTGTCATACCTGTTTGTGCTTATATGGCTTCCATCCTGCTTGTGTGATTGCTTTTGTGTCTTTGTGCTGCTGAAGAGCACCTCCTAACATGCCTGCCCATGTGGTTAGCAGAGAAGACAAGTATACTTGTGCTGGGCTTTTGAAGGTTACAGAAGCGCTCTGACTATTATATTCTGAAAGAAGAGTTAAGTGTTTCTGGGATCTGTCATGCTGTTTCTAAGAGAAAGTGACTTCTTAGCAGATACCCTTATGAGAGAATGGGCCACTGAATAAATTCTGTATCATGGGAGAACAGGCCTTTCAAAACTATTCCAAGGACTTGGTTCAGCTGTATCAGTTCATAAAAATAATGTTCTTTTTATGGGCCTGCCATTATTTGCAAAGTTAGCTCAGCAGGAAAGATATGAAATTGCAAAGAACGTGAGTAGTGCTGAAGCATCTAGTTTTGTTGTCTTGAGCCATTAAAACAGTGCATTAAAATCCATGTATTGGCAGAAGTTCATGCAGTTAAAACCAGGCCTTCTTAATAACTGGAATCTGTTACCATCAGTCACCAGGAGAAGGAAGCATCAGATTCTAGTCACAACATTAAATTCAAAACCAACTCCTGACCACAGGAATGGAACTGCTTTCAGCAGTCACCCTTCCAAAATTGTTAATGTCCCTTTGTTTTTGTCCCATGGAGTCTTTCCTCTTTCCCATATGGATTTCCCATGATCAGGACTTGAGTGTTGATGCAGGCTGCATCCAAAGGGTGGTGGTTCTGCAGCTCTTCTGGGTCAGCTCCCAGCAAGGAAGAGCTGCAAGCCAAGTACATAACATTCTGCTCCCAGTAATTTACTCTTGGGACTGCCACAAGCTGGTTACTGGTGGATGTCACCTTCCTACTTTTCTGTTGCATTAAGTATCCTTCATTTTTATAAACATTTGATATTTCGCATTTTAAGTGGGTTTTTCCATCCCGCCCTACTTATGGAAGACATCTGAAAGCTTAGGAATGTTAGGCTTCATTAAACTTGTGTCTGGATAAGGAGGTACTCTCAGAGTGTGTATTCTTTGCAAAACTTGTTTTTTCTATAGTTTCGTTTCTCACTCTGAAGTGATAATAGATTGCAAATGTGGTGCTTGGTTGCTTTGATTTTTTTCCCAAAACCTGACTGTTTTTAATCTTGTTCCGTATTCCTGGAATTGTTTATTTTGCTTTCTGCCTAAAAGACAAAGGGCAGGTTTGGCTCTTCTCCAGGAACACATGGAGTCAGCAGCCAGAAACTCCAGCTGTGGCAGTAGCCCAGAACTGTGACACAAGGCATGGCCTTGGGAATGGTGGTGCACCACAGCTGTATCTTCTCAAAGATCAATTGTTGGGGTGTTTTCATGCCAAATTGTCATGTTTGTTATGGGATGGTCACATAAGGAGAGATCTGGGATTTTGCTTGTGAAAAATTGAGTTAAATGGGCTTCCTAGGAGTTGTGGGTTTAGACCTGTTTAAGAGCAATTATTCAGAAGCTGTTGGAAATGCACCAAAAAATGCAACACCTGGTAACTGAAATTTGCTGCCAAAGGGGAGGAAGATGTTTTTAATGTGGCTTCAGCAAAATGTATATGAAATTGTATATGGTTGATGATGGAAAATTAAATGCCAACAGTAAGGTTGCAGGATTTCTGATGTAGCCCACCACCAGGATTTCCATGTCTGGAGTACAGGAATGGAAATTTCTCTATTTCAGAAGCTCTTTTCCAGCCTTTGGTGACTTCTTAATTGGTTTGGCCATTATGTATGACTCAGAACTGCTCTTCACAAACTGACTTGGATGTGAACTTTTATCACTATATCATAGAATCACAGAATCAACCAGGCTGGAAAACACCTTTAAGCTCCTCCAGTCCAACCATTCCCCAGCACTGCCAAAGCCACCACTAACCCATGGCACTGAGGCCTCGTCTCCATGGTGTGTGAACACTTGCAGGGCTGGTGACTCCAGCACTGCCCTGGGCAGCCTGTTCCAATGCCTGAGCACCCTGTGGGGAAGGAATTGTTCCTCAGCTCCAGTCTAAACTATCCAGTCAGTGTATTGTTTTAGGAGCTTCCCCTCAATTATCCAGGCAGAAAGTGGAGGGGGAGAGGCCTATGAAGGATCAAGTTCTTAAAATTCAGACATCAAGTTAGGAGGACAAGGTTATTTTTATTTTTCTGTAATAAAGCTGCCTGTTTTTCACTCAGAACCAACTGGGATGTGTTTTCTTGCTATGTAGCAACACCTTTTTATTTGTTATTGAGTGGATAACATGTGGAAAGTTGAGTGCCAAAAGGGAAACTTCTGGAAAGTTGTAAATAACTGAATTGTAGTAAAAATAGGAGGTCTTTGTTAGACTTCTAACAGCAACAAATACATGTCTAGAACAAAACCTGCTTTACTAAGCATTTCTCTCTAGTGCTTATTAGTATCAGGTGATGTGGGTAAAATACATGGTTTTAAATTCCATGCTTTTATTCCTATAAGAATAAGCTCCTTTTATTCTTAGCTTAATGCAATTACTCTTTGATTTAACTTCTAGCACAGTGCTTTTTTCAGTCACTTCTTGTCCAAGAATTTGTCAAAAGAATAAAAAAATGAAGACTTCCCCCCCCCCCCCAAAAAAAAAAATAAAACAAATGGAATTTAATCAGGTGAGGTGAGATCCAGTTTACCTGTTCCAAGGCAAAATGTTCTTTCAGTGAAATAGGTATGGAATACTCACTGACAATGCCTAGGGAATGTACTGGGTACCTTAGGTAGAAGCCTTTTTTGAGCCTTAGGTCATTCGAAATACAGATGGCAACTGAAGCTTTGCTTCAAATGTGTTCTGGCTATACTGTGTGGAAGTTGTTGCATTAACCTAAAATGGTGTTGAGCCAAATTTGTGTATGTGAATATACCATTTGCTTAAGACGCACACCTCATGTGTAGCACATGAGAACGCGACGTGAAGAACATGGAGAAGCTTCATGTTCCGTCTGTTGGGTCATTCCCACGTTACATGCCTGTCATCATTATTTTAATCACAGACACATCGTCAGCATCAGAAGATGAGGGCTCCTTACGTCGGCAAGGGCGGATCACCTCCACTCCGTTCCAGAGCCATTCCAACGTAGAGCCCTGGCTTAACCGGGTTATTCAGGGCTCCTCCACCTCATCCTCTGCATCTTCCACCTCATCTCATCCAGGAGGGAAACCTGCTGCTGCTTCCAATACTGCTACTGTCACCGCTGCTGCCACTGTGCTTGCAGATCTCATGGCACACACCCAGCTAGGTCAGTAAAGAAGTGTCGTTGGAATAATACCAGATTCAAAAATCCCAAAGCAGGGCTAAACACAAAAATTCTTCACCAGAAAATACCTGTAAATAGCCTTAAAATGTACAATCTACAGACCAGGTATGTATGATATGTATGTGTTTGATTTAAACCATGTTCATGAGATCTGAACACGCGTTCTTCTTGGTAAAATGCTTGATTTATCAAGAAACTAGGGTTCAGTTTTACTGCATTCAACAGCAGAATTTCAAAGGGATTCTATTTTTGGTGCATGCTTTCCAATCCTCATGTATTTACCCTGGACCATATCAGGTTGTGGATTGCAGAGGTGAATTGGTAAACAGCCAGAAGACTAGAAAAACATCCAGAATGATTTGGAAGGTTATGAAATCAGAACTCCTGACTAGGCGAGATTTCAAGCTCAGCTGTGATTTTATTGTTTTTCCTTCAATAATAAATGAAGTGTAAAATATAAGTCATGAATAGTCCTTTATTGTGAAACTTAGAATGAAAATGGAGAACTGACAGTAAGCCAAAATGTGAATGTGAGTTTGATCTCAGTCTCTGTAACACTGGAGTTTACTTTCTTTGTCATAAATTGCAGAGCACTTTACCCAAATCTTCCAAAAGTCTTGTGCTTTTGGAAGGGTTGGGAGGGAAGGAGGGCGGAAGGCAGTCTCTTCCACCATGGGAGTAACTTTTACAGTGGTTTTATATGCTGTAGTGATGACTGATAGTGGATTTATGTGTGTGCAGCAGGTCTGCACTAATATTAAGTGATGGGAAAGGACCTAGAGGAGAAACAGGAACTTTGTATTTCAAATAAATTCTCTCCCTGAAGTAATTTAGAAAAATGAAATGAAAAATTCTGTTTGCATTTCACCTATGGGTTACAGTGTGAAGTTCTTGTGCTTCTAGTTATATGCAGTAGGCCTCACGTATCTTATTCCTGGACGTTTCGGGTTTTGGCAGTTTTAGTGCTCTACTTAGCTGACTGTTTGTTAAGCTGTGGCTCTATGCCTATATACTCCATAGAGACAGTTTTGTCTCAGTTGTTACCGAGAACAGGTTAGGTCAGGTGGGAAAGCTTCAGATTCAGATTTAAACTGAGTATATAGGCTTCTGTATACTTGGAGATGTCAGTTAACAGGAGCATTTAAAGCACAAATGCATTATGCATATACCTGTTCTTTTAGCTTGACTGGCTGTTGGGTTCGCAAGCTGTGGCTGCCCCATCCCTGGCAGTGTTCAAGGCCAGGTTGGACAGGGCTTGAAGCAGTGGAAGGTGTCCCTGCCTGTGGCAGGGGGTTGGAACTGGGTGAATTTTAAGGTTCCTTCCAACACAAACCATTCTATGATGATGATTCTGTGACATTCCCAAGCAGTGGAATACAGCAGTATTGAAATTGCAGGGTTACCGTATTTAAGACAGTTGAACAGGAATACACATTATTTTTAAGCTGTCAATCTTTCACCTATAAAAGCAAGTGCAACATCCACATATTGGTTTGGGGGCTTTTGTTTTCTTTTAGTTTCATACTTCCTTCAAATGAATAAGGCCAGCAGTGTGTCTGGGTTTTTTTTTCAAGGTTACCATCTCAACTGTGGGGTATTTCTCAGCTTTTGTTAGAGTAACTGGAAAAATGGATTATCATGGTATTCGACCCAGTATTTATTGAAAAACTGGAAAGTACAATTCCTTTCCCTAAGGGGAAGCAGAGTTCCGAATTGTGTTCTGAACTGCTGGGGCTCTATAAGCAGTTTTACCGGGGTTGTAAGAGTGAAGCAAGTTAGGAAGAGTTTCAAAGAGTTTATTCGAGAGGAAGTGTCAAAAGGTAGTGTCTTGTGGATCACAGTGGTTGATTAGCTTCCTACAGACAAAACTATCATACAGCAATCTGCAGGTCTAACCCTAGGTCCTGCTAGGCAGGGGTTTTTCTAATGTGTTTGAATCTTCACCCTGAGACTTCTCCTTCGAGACTTTCTTCCTGATGCCTAGCTTCTAATTTTGTCTCCTATCCCATACATTCTTTCTTGGACCACTGCTCTCTCTTGCATTTATCTCTCTCTTCTGATCAATAATGGAAAGGAGCTTCTGGCTAAACCCAGTTAACTCTTTCCTGCAGTCACAAGTCTGTCCAGACAATTCTTTTTCTGGCTACTCACCACTTCTCTTTCTCTGCTTTGCCACAGTATCTCTAGATGATGCAGACTCATTTCATGGATTCTCAAGCACATGTATTAACAAAATACCCAAATAATCAATGAAGCTAATGGGATTCTTATCCAAGTGTAAATTCTGGAAAATTGAACTTATTCTATGCATGGATTTTTTGCCTTCACAAGGCAGGATGGGGAGGAAGAGTCAATTCTCTGCTGTATGTAAGAACAAATAGCTATGGACAGCAGAGTTGTTCATAAGGACCCCGATATTTCCTTTGTTGGTAAGGGACATTTATTTGCATGAAATTCGGCTCCGAGGTGTTTGTAAGGTCCATGAATGCTGTAGGTGAGCACCTCTATATATAGCCAATTTTTTGTGCTTGTTTCCTGTTGGGAATGACCTCTAATGGGGTTTTGTGTCTTTTCTGAGCATTCTCATTTTGTGTGATGTCTTTGAGCTGTTCCCAAGTACACAGCTCTTCTGCAGATGTTCCCAAATAGCTTCTTCCTTATGTTATTTTCCAAGCATCTAATTGCAGAGCCTTTGTATTTCAAATATCTGCCTCAGGCATGTGAGTGGAAGATTTGCTTTTTCCCAGCAGCAGTATGCATGATAAAACCTGCATCCATTCAGCATTTCAACTTACGTGCTTCATGCAGGGCTTCTCCCCTTTGCTCCAAGCCTCATAGTATGTGTCGGTCTCTCTTGTCCTCTCACTTGATGGTTATATTGTTGATGGTTATATGTGTACATCACTTCGAGAGTATAGCTTGAGTCACCTTCATGTTTAGCGGTCACAGCTTTCCTCTATAGGAATGCCATTTTGGGGCCTTCCAGTGATGAAGCCACCCTGCAGGTGCATCCCTAATTGTAGTTCTTGCTGATGTATTCAAGGAGTGGAAGCTTTAGACATTGATATAATCACTGCAGGGTTTCTCAGTTGGGAAGTGTGGACCCCTGAGCTATTACTGCGCTATGGGAGCCAGGTACATTTGACTCTGATTGATTTCTGTGCTGTATGAAGTCCATGGTTTTGGGATTTTGATAAAGCTAAGAGAATAAAACCAACTAAAAAGCAACAAGTATACAGAACACAGCAGGAGTGTTTCAGTTTACTCTGAATACATCGGCTTTCTGTATGCTCTCTAAAGTGGTTGTACAGATCAGCCTTACACGTAGTGGTTACCTTTTCCTTTTACTGGTTTTATCCTGGGTGTTTGTCAGACAAAGTGATACTTTGTCCTTCAGGTACCTTACCCGCATGAAAAGAATTTGTCCTTCCTTGGTACCCAGAAAGGCAGGTCTCTGCAATACAAAAATTGGAAAATATGGGAATGGATTTAATTCTTCTTTCAGTGATTCCTCTGAAACTGCAAAGAGCTGCACTGGTGGCTTGTGTGTCAGCCCCAGAAACCTGTGAACAGAGCTATGAGCACTTGTTATCTTAGTGCTAATCCCTTCCTCAAAAAGCCGGGTCAGAAAGGTGGGTGGGGTGTGTATTTCACAGCTCTGCCTCCATCTCCCTGTGCTTCGAGTTCTTTTTGCAGGATCTGTGGTGTGTTGAGGCCCTTCAGGGGGTATCACTGCAGAGCTGCATGACCACAAGCAGTTCCTCCAGCACCGTGTCCTTCAGCATTTCCTTTTGCTCTTTAGGATTCTGAGTATTTCAGGCCTCCAGTTCTGTTTTTTTCCTTGTTGGAACACTTCTCCCAGGTACTGCCATTTGCTAACCTGTGGTTCCATTCAAAACTGTTCCCTAACCTGGGTCACCAGTTTGGAATGATGATATTCCCTAAGCACAGCTCTGCAGAACTGTGGTGCAATAAAAAATATAAGTGTTTATTGCTTGTAGCACACACCATTAAAAGGAAAGCGTGCCATGTCTGGCCACAAATGACCACCTTATGACCGCCTCAAGAAACCCTGTGCTAAATTACCTGTTGTGAGCAGTGTGTGTATATCATTTTGACCTCTAGACCAAGGGTGGGTTTAAGTGTTACAGGCATTCCAGCTGTTCTCACTGATAGATGCCCCAGTGAAGAGTGAATGGTGTCTGTACTGCAACATAAAGAGGAAGCTTCTACCTCCAGTATTGTGAGACTATTAAAAACAGGTGGTAAGAACAGCTGTGGAAGGGAAGCTATGGCTGCTCTTATGAACTGCAGGTGACAGGTTTTTAAGTCATCATTTCCTTTCCTCTGAGGCATCTCTCATCTCTCCGTGTCCATCCTCAACATGTGTTCAGACCTAAGTGCATTGTCCATGCCACTTAAAATCTTAATCTGTGTTTCTCAGCAGAAGACTTCCTCTTACAGCCTGCAGAATGTAGATAGGTGCTTCACATTGTCCTTGGCCAGAAGTTCTGTTCTTTTAAACCTCATGCTTCTGTCTCTTTCTCTTCCTATAGGACTTAAGAGTACTCATTCCAGTCTTGTAGAGAGGCTTTGGCTGCCTGTATTTCTTCTTAGAGATGCGAGATAGACGTTCTTTGTAGACTTGTGCTGTTTACTCATAATGCATCTCCTTGCTTTCACCTTGAAGTGATGAAGTGAGCAACCACTCTCTGTCAGAATTTGTTTGGATCCCTTTGAACATCGGAACAGCTCCTCTCCACTGTGGAGAGGTACCGTGGTTCCTTTCAGGATTTCCTCTGTATTTAGGATTTCAGTTACAGTTTGATTAGAGAAATCAGAGTTCAGTTAAAAACATAAGACAAGAAGAATGACGTAAGAAGCAACTTTGGATATATTGATTCTTAAGATGACTAATGAGCTCCTACATCTGTCTTCCATTTCTATAGATAATCACCCTGCACCTCCAGATGTCACCACTGGTCTGGTGGAACATTTACATCATGAGCGCCCACAGGTTGCATCAGTACGAGGAGTTCCCAGAGGCTACAACAGCAGCATTTTGGAAACTGCAGATGGTGATTCTATTATAAACCTCCTGCTTTTCAGTCTGTGTCGCCTTTCCTGAATAAGTGAATCCATCACAGAGCTTGACACCCATTCTGTGCTATGTCCCTGCCCCTCCAGAGCTTTGCAGTAGTATGGTCTATCTGTCAGTCTACCATGGGAGAGGAAACTACTGCATTTCCCATGCTCTGCTGGTGGGAGCCATGTGCCCACTTCTGTATATTTCTACAGTAAAAGGCAACGTAAGCCGTTTTGTCTCACATTTTAATTTTATATTGCCTGAGAGCTTGAAATTTCAATAACTGCAAACAGACATACACATATCTATTTAATTTAAAATAAATACATCACATACACAAACAAAAGCAGTGTAGGTTTGTGTTCTGATTGTTTCTTGCTAGCCCTGTAAAATGCTGCAAGATTCATTTGTTTTTTTCCAAGCATTGTCACACTTTCAGAACTGAATGAATGTTAAGACATAGCAAATACCTAGACTCTGGAACGAAAAGAACGTTCTTCAGGTTTGTATTGGACTCTCATGAAGGAGTCAGCAGTTTGAAAAGCTAAACTAGAGTGTGAGAAGGTATATTCTTCATCCAGGTAGCTAGGGAGCAGCATTATATTAAAACAAATAACTCCATGGTTGAAACTGTTACTGATTAAAGCTGTTTCTTTTTCCCAAAGAAGCTGCTCATCTTGAATGACTGCTGAGCTTAGTGTGATGTTGTAAGCAGTGTGGCAGCATGTGCTTTAGTGTATGCTTATTTATATATGGTAAGTAATAAATCTTTTCTCTTTGGCAGGTGTTCCAGTGAATAGCAGAGTGTCTTCTAAAATCCAGCAGCTTCTAAATACCTTGAAAAGACCAAAGCGCCCGCCTTTGAAAGAGTTTTTTGTTGATGATTTTGAAGAACTCCTAGAAGGTTAATTTCCTTTCAGATACATTTTTCACTCCTTTTGTAAGCGGGTCACAGAAGACCTGGTACTTCTTAGCAAATGCTGTTTTCTTTTCCCAGTAGAAAACAAATCATGGTAGAGTTCATGGTAGAGTTGTTTTATTGGAGGCAGAGAGGTCAGATGCTATCACAAGTAAGACAGAGCCTTCAACTCAACCCTTCTACTCAGTGTACTTGGTCTCCCTTCCTCCCTCACTTTGAAAATTCTTCTGATTCAGCCTAATTTAGACCAGTGTGATGAGCTGGTGCACACTAAAGACTGTGATCCTTGAAGGAATTCATTGGTGCATCCAGAGATTGTCATGCTTGGTGATAGTACCACCATCACTTTTTGCCTCGGAGATTCTAAACTCTGCCCTGTGGTCATCAGCAAATCTATAGAGGGTACTTTTTGGAGTAAGTCAGGGCATAGCTTGAGTATAACTGGTGGTGTAGTGGACCCCTGGAAGTCTATAACAGACCTCTTGCCCAAACCAGGTTCAACTAGATCAGGCTGCTCAGGGCCATGTCTAGTCAAGTTCTGAGCATCTCCAGATGTGGAGATTCCACAGCCTCCCCGGCCACTTGCATTCAGCTGGTGTCTACAAGCACTCCCACATCCTGCTCTGAGAAGCTGCTTTGTAGCTGGTCAGTGCCCAAATACAGTTAGATGAACAAATTTACTTTGCTAGTACATGGAATTTATTATGATAATACTGTTTGCCTGCATGTTAATATCCTCTTCTTGAGATCCAGAAACTTTCCTTATTTTAGATGTTCAGAGGAATTAAATGCATTGAGTGCATTGTGCATATGTCTTGTCTGTGCTCTATATGAAAGGATAGTCCTTGTACACATTCTGCAGGTATTGGCTAAAAGCCACTGTCTTCTTCTCTGTATGCATGTGTCTAAGCAGAAAGAAAAGCATCTCTCAATGTGACATTCTTGAGAGGCCATTGCTAGGTTCTCTAGTATCAATTTGTTTGATACTCCAGGATATGAAGTTATCGTGGTTCTAGTCTTTCACTGAACTTTTTTCAGGCAAACTGTCATTGAGATCCACGTATATCACTGTGGAGAACAAAGAGCATCACTTTGAACTGTTAATTGTAGTTATTGCATAGATTGAGTCTTGGATAAATCCAGCTATGACTTTATTTTGCCAAGATCAAGATACTTCACCTACTTGAGCAGCTTGGAGCAAGGTTTTAACAGCAGGCTGCTCAGAGAGCAAATGGCTTACAAACCCTGCAGTGTTCCACAGCTGAGAGAGTTGATCCAGAAATCAAACAAAACATGCTGTGAGAGGTACAGTTTTAGTTGTATATAATCCATATCCAGAGCATTTCATCAGGCTTTTTTGATTTGTTTAAAAAACCGTATTATTATAAAGGCTTAGTGTCATTCTTCATTGCCTGTTTCGAATTTGGCACAGCAAAAATCAAGATCCAGTTGTCACTGAAGCCATTCTCTCTGATAATGCCTCTTGACTTGGTGTAGGCTGTTGTTTAAATACATGTGCAGAACAAACAACAGAAAATACATCTTTCCAGAGCAGAGAAGAAGAGTGAACTAGGGATTCAAATTCTGTGTCTAGATCCTTTGAATAATATTGAATCAGAACACTAAAGTGATGGTAATTACTTTTTGTGAAGCCAACAGATGATTAGCAGAGGAGAAGCAATGATAGCTGTGAGGAAGAGGAAAGTAGGAATGGTTCATAGAATCATCTTTTAGCTGCAGCTCGTGTATTCGAGGCCGGGTTGGATGGGGCTTGGAGCAGCCTCCTCTAGTGGAAAGTGTCCGTGCCCATGGCAGAGGTTGGAACTGGAAAAGTTTTAAGGTCTCTTCCAACCTAAACCATACTGTGCTTTTGTAAGGATTGACATTTGCCCTTTTCCTGTGCTCTGATTTTAGTGCAACAGCCTGACCCAAATCAACCAAAGCCTGAAGGAAATCAAATGAATGTACTTAAAGGTGAACCCTTAGGCATGGTAACCAACTGGCCACCTTCTTTGCTGGCTGCCCTGCAGCGCTGGGGAACCACCCAGCCAAAAGCCCCTTGTCTGACAGCATTGGATACAACTGGGAAAGCTATTTATACTCTTACCTATGGTAGGTATTGGTGATAACTGTAAGGAAGAATCAGACATTCCTTGTGGAATGAACAATTTGCTTTACTTTAGGAGGGACTGGCTGTGCTCATGACATGCTTTGAGATTTGAATGCAAACTACTGATCCATTGTATGTGAAAGAGATTCTAAAGGAAGTTAATGAAGGGAAATTGTTTATGGTATTGATTCTTTACAAATGGCTGTTTATAAATTTCAGACAATTGGGGTTTATTTTCTTTAAAGAACACTGAAAATAACCTAGAAGGGACAAAACAGATGACTAATAATACACTCTTCAGAGTCCCAGAGTAGACACAAAATTTCAGCATGGTTTTGCATGCTGAATGCAATTCTTAAAGAGAACACTTGCATTCAGGAGCATTTTAGGGATGTTATTGTGGGAAGTAAAACTTGCCTGAATCAATGAACTAGAAGTATTGTAGTCATTGCATTATTTGTAAGATCATTTTGTCCCTAACTGCAGCATTTCTTTCTGTGCTGTGTTAGAATGTAAGTTTCTTGTTTGCATTCTTACAGCTGAAGTGTGCCTACAGGAACTGAGCAGCTGCATGAGTTCCATTACGTTGCAGTGGTGCTGTGAGAATTCCTTAGAACATTGTGTTTAGTTTTGCATTTAGAAATAAAAGAAAGGAGAAGCCAAACTGTAAAGAAGCCAAGCTCTAAATTGTATTTGGACTCTGCCAACTGCACTGAACGGCCAGTTCTGTAGAGGGCTGCCCATTTGATGTATCTGAGTCCTGTGGAACCCTTTTTTATAGAACTGGAAATTAAACAGGGGGAAAAGAAAAGTAGAATTGAAGAAGTTTGAGACTGACAAGCACAAGTTAACTGATGCTTGCTACATGGTCTGAAAGGATTGAATGTGAATGTTGATCTATGATAAAGACCCTCTGCTAGAGAGCTGAGTTCCAGATGAATGCTCTTTGCCATGGCATGCTTCTTTGTGTTGGGGGGTTCTTGCTTTGATTTACCGTTTTCAGGGGAAGGGGGTTGCTACTGCTCCATTTTTTATAAACAGAGTGGTTTGGTTTTCTTAGCAAAGCTCTGCTGGGTTTGGAGGCTGCAAGTTAAAAAGTTGATTTTTATACTGTGTCAAATAAGCAGTTAAGAGTGTTGACTTTGTATTCAGTAGCTTGGAATAATGCTTTGTTCTGAACTACAAGATCTCTAGAACTGGCATTTCACAGAACCCAGTAATTTGGCATTTATTCCTACCCTTTGTTTCTTAAATTTTGGTTAATATTTTATCCAGTTTAGGATTACTTTTTTATCCCAAGTACTTTGCTTTCCCTAGAAGTCTTTAAGAAGGAGTCTTATGAAGTGTCTTTTAGAAATGCAGTTAGGTTGTATCAGCTAGGCCTTGTGTGTGTGTGCTCACATGCACTAAACATTAGAAGAATTCAGTAGGTTTGTGAGGTGGGATTGCTTTCACAACACAAATGTTCACTTTTCCCTTATTACTTGCTCATATGACTGTTGACCCTTTTCTAATTCAAGCTGTTGCCTAGTGCATATGTAAAGCACTGAGATTTGCTAATTAAATGTTAACATTTTAGGCTCGTGGGGTTTAATTTCTGGAATGTCTTTTTTTTCCTTAGGCAAGCTGTGGAGTAGAAGCTTGAAGTTGGCGTATACCTTGCTAAACAGGCTAACCACTAAGAATGAACCATTGCTGAAGCCTGGGGACCGGGTAGGCTTCTGTTTAAAATGGTCTCTGGGGAAAACAGAGAGTGAGGAACCAAAGAAAACCTTCTAATACTGGGAGCTGTAATAGTGGATTATCACACCATTTGCTATTTCTGTTCCTAGTTTAAATATGAACCTGAATATTGTTGCAAAGATTCTTTTTTCCCCACAAATGACAAAGCTGTTCCCTCCCCCTAAATGACAACAAAACCCATTTCTTCATATTCTGATGTATTTTTGTAGGTAGCTCTCGTGTTTCCTAATAGTGATCCAGTTATGTTTATGGTGGCATTTTATGGATGTCTCCTCGCAGAACTTATTCCTGTCCCAATAGAAGTTCCACTAACAAGAAAGGTAGGCAAATACATTCCACATCCTATGGTTTTGTAAATAAAGCAAGCAGGGGAGGTATCTGAATCCCCTAGTCTTTATGTGGTACCCCTCAGAGCCTGCACTTTGAAAGCAGTCTGGTGCATCAGCTGAGCTGCTCAATGTACATTACATGCTTGGAAAGTGTTTAGTATTTAGTTGTGGGGGAATGGTATGAAGCTAGTAATCAACTAGTTTAGGATATGTAACTGTAGCAATTGTTTTAATTCAGTATTTTTGCAAAAGCATGAAAGTATTTCTCAACATGTAATGTAGAAAAGCTCTTTTCAGCTCTCATGCTGAGTAGTGGGAGCACAGGCAGGCAGAGACACCTCAGTTACTGGAAATACCAGTATAATCCCGCCCACATTTTGAGAGTTGAAAAGGTTCCAGCTCTGCTCTTTAGTGCTTCAGGACTCAGAAACAGCATCAAACTAGCTCTCTGTTTCACCAGACTTCAGTAAAATCCCTGTTGGGTTGGCGAGGGATGCACAATCACTGCTTTTGACACTACTTTGCTACTGTTGCTTGCCAGATCTACTGCGAAATCTAACTTGGTTGGTACTAAGCAAAACTAAGCCTTTTGAGCATAGACTTCATGCTTGTGTCTTCTATGAAAAGTCATATGGCTTTGAAGTTCTTTCCTGTGTTACAGATTGCCTCAATACTTTCTAAACATGGAAAGGTTACATTAAACTCTACAAAAGCTTCGTTATTTGTAAGTTTCCTATAATATGGTTTCTCTGTAGGATGCTGGCAGTCAGCAAATTGGATTTCTTTTGGGCAGTTGTGGAGTAACACTAGCTTTAACCACTGATGCCTGTCAAAAAGGCCTTCCTAAAGCTCAGACTGGTGAGGTGGTGACATTCAAAGGTATGTTTTGAAGCTACTCCTATTTCTTTATAGGATAAAGAGCAGATATATCCACTGTTGCTATTAAACAACAATTTCTGAGGCACACATACAAAGAACTGCCTTGATTGTCACGTCATTACTTAGTGCTGCTTCTTCCTGTCAGGGGGGTGATGCTGCAGCTTTTGCTTGCCTCCTGTTGTTATGCCTGAATACTGGAAGGGGGGAAATCTGATTTTTGGGACAGTAAGGACAGTAACTTCTCTTTTTCTTTGAAGGCTGGCCTCATCTCATGTGGTTTGTGATCGATGGGAAGCATCTGGCAAAACCAGCTAAGGACTGGCATCCACAAGTACGGGATGCCAGTGCTGAGATTGCTTATATTGAGGTGATCCAGTATAATATACCTAATTTACAGTTACTCTGTTGTAGTTTATATCCCAGCACATTTTCTTCCTTTAATCTCTTGATGCAATAAAAGAAATTGCTATAGTATTTTTAACTGTGGAGCAAGGATGTATCCCCCAGGGTTGCCAGGCAAACTGTCAATTGAGTAGTTGCCTGAAGATTCGGGGTAGTTGGCATTTTTGGATCCCTGGGACAATATGTTCAGTTGGGATAGACAAACAGTGAGATTTCATACGGTATTGGTGTATTCTCCAAACATTAATGTCTTATGCTAGCTTTTTGATCTCGTTAAAAAGCTCACTTCAGTTTTATAGTCAAATATCCTTTCAGTTCATTGCTGTAAATCTTGTAGATCTTGCTGTTAATCTAATGCTTTTGTAAACTTCCTCTTCTCAGTACAAAACAAGTAAAGAGGGCAGCACAGTGGGCATTACTGTATCTCATGCTTCCATGCTGGCACACTGTCACGCATTGACTCAGGCATGTGGTTATTCAGAAGGTAAGTTAGATAGGTACAACTTCAAAATGCTACTCACAGCTTTGAATAGTCAGACCATTTATGTTGCAAAATCATATTTATTGTCTTAAAAGAACTTTAGATAAGCAGTAGTAGCTTTAACTGCAAAGGGAGAGACAAACTTCCTCATTCATAACTGGTGTGATATGAAGCCACTTGTGAAATGATAATCAATGTGTGTTAAACGGTTTTAACCTAGGATCCTTATCAATTTTAGTCAAGAGTTTGGATTTTTCAGACTTCATAATTTAAAGATGGTTGTTGGAAGTAAAGTCACACACTTCCAGCTTAAGCAGCCTGTTATAGGCAAGAAGGAAGGGGAGCATAGCTTTGATTTCTCAGTAGTTTTGGGAGTTTCATAGTTGCCTTAGCAAATATTTTGAGTTCTTGAATAGCCTCATAAATACGCTTCTAAAGACTTTATATTTTTTCCGTTGCTTTCAGCTGAAACACTAACAAATGTCTTGGATTTCAAAAGAGATGCTGGCCTTTGGCATGGAGTATTAACAGTGAGTATCGGAATGAATGAAAAAACCCTGCAGTGAGTTGCTTCTTTCAGGGGTAGAGTATTGGTATGGGAATGAAGGAATGAACTTTCTCAAACTATTTGCATTTCAGTATTTATATGTTTCAGTAACAGGCTGCACAGTCATAGCTGATGTTTTTACACATAGTTCTCACAGCTAAATGTAAGAGTTACCCTGTAGCTGTGGTAGTTTGTTTTTTAAGTACATGCTGTGTATTCTTTGAGCCACTTGAAGGTCTAATTTGTCAATACTTTTCTCACAGAGTGTTATGAACAGGATGCATGTCATCAGTATTCCCTATGCATTAATGAAGGTTAATCCACTTTCCTGGATACAGAAGGTCTGCTTGTACAAAGGTAACCCTAAAATGTTTTACTTAACCCGTCTCTTTATGGATGATTTAAGGAAATGAAAATAATTGTATAAAATACCTGCTCTAGCTGAGGCCAATGCTGCATTATCCAGCTGACTTTGTTTGCCACAGCTTTAAGGTACTCCCATTTCAGCTACATGTGGACTGAGAGATTCATTGCTGAGTGATGTTGATGGCTTCCTCTGATAGACCTTTAAAGAGCCTCTTTTTCTCACCTCAATATTGAAATTTATAGTAAACATTTAAATTCTTTACAATCAAGTCCATCTGGAGGCATTGAGTATGAATGTGTCATAGCAGTTAAATATTTGGCATTTGTGTTTGTTCTTTAGGTTTGGAATCTGTTTCATAAATTTATATACACAAAAGTATCTAACTGGTGTTTATTTTGTTCTGCACATGCACCATAATTGTGTTTTTACTTTCAGCCCGTGTAGCAGTAGTCAAATCTCGTGATATGCACTGGTCACTTTTGGCTCAGAGGGATCAGAGAGATGTCAGTCTGAGCTCTTTGCGAATGTTACTAGTGGCAGATGGAGCTAATCCATGTGAGTATGGGTGCTTTTTCAGTTCAAGGTGAGCTGAAGCACACTGTAAATCACACAGCTCTGCGTCTGCACTCTAGGAGCTCGGCAGCACTGGCTCTAGTTCATCTTCAGTAACAGTATTTCTTTGCAAAGGACACTGGAACAGAACTTCCATAGAAAATATTCTGAAGGATTATTCTTTCCATAATGAATAGTTGGCAACATGATTTTGAAAGAAGCTTTTCAATTTTCAAGTAAATCATAATGGCATTTTCAGTAGTAGTTGCTTATGTATTGCATGTAGACATAAAATCTTTGAGTTGCAGTGTGTGATTCTGTACATGCCCCTAGGGCTTGTGCCAGCCATGTGCAAGGACATAAAAATGGAAGCAGTCACAGCCTTAACTCAAAACCAAGACAACTATTAACTAGAGTATGTGGTAGGTTCTTGCCTTTCTCTGTCACTCATATGGTGGTGGTTTACAGTATAACGAGAGGAAGCAGCCAGGAGGTGGTAAGAATATACCTTAGTTGCTTGATTTTGCTGTTCTCATACACCAGAAAACCAAGTGTTTCAGATTCCTTGCAGTTGCATAATGAGAGGTCTACAAATCCTGCTGGCAGAAGATGAAAACCTGAAACTAAGATGTTATTTGTTGTAAACACTTTCAGAGCTGATGCTTAAAGTTAGGCAGTTCAGTCTATAGTAAAATGCTATATATATTCTTATGATACCACTGCTATTTCCTTGTTGCTTGCACTTCTTAGCTATATTCAGCTGTGTAAATTCATTTTTTTTTAACTTCATCTTTTTATTAGTACTGTACTCTTAGATAAATTGACCTGAAATTACACCTAGGATGTAGAATAATCGGTGAAGTTTGCTGCTTTGCATTATGTGCTGCAATTCCACAACTGTAAAATAAAAAGCTGTAGGTGATGCCGTGTTCTCTTGCATTTTGGGCTGAGCCATAAAGGCCAAGTAAAGTTCTGAACTGAACTGAAGATACGTCAGAAGTATCTGATGTTAACTTCTAAATGCTTTGGCTCAGTGACATCTATAAGAAACACTGGTTGCTTCTAGAGGAGCTATATAGGAAGCCAACAGATACAGTTGCTGTTAGTGACAGAATATTCTGATCACTGAAGAACTTCCCATGATGTTAAGTGTCCCAAAGTGCTGCCAGAGAAAGAGAGGACGCAGTTTTCAATGTCATGCAGTGAATTAGTTGTTAACCACTGGGTGGTTTTCCTCCAAATCTAACATCTAGTAATAGGCTGGAATGTCTTTTAGACAAGTATGTTGGTTTTGTGAATGGATGCAACCATATTTGTTTGGCTGAGCACAAGCTTTGAAATTCTGCAGCTCACCCTTTCCGGGCCTTGCAAAATGTTTCCAACTGTGTGATTGTTCTTTTTAGGGTCAATATCTTCATGTGATGCATTCCTGAATGTATTTCAGTCCCGAGGTTTGAGACCAGAAGTTATCTGTCCCTGTGCTAGTTCTTCAGAGGCACTGACTGTTGCTATTCGCAGGTAATTCTCTTTTCTGAGAAGGGAACTTAAGCATTTCTTGACTACTGAAATATATCTGGTTTTAAAAGGAGAGTCAATAAAGACCATCACCCACACAACGATGCCCAAAGGCTCAAAGAGAAGTTTGAGGCTCACAGGTATCTCCTGCATTGAAGGATGGGGGATTTTTGTTTGTTTTCTTTAAAAAGTCTAAGATTTTCTAAAGGTAGTCAGCCATAAGGTTGGGGTTTTTAACAGCGTAAGAAAGTGTGGTCTCATGCTCGTTGTTGCTGGAGGACCTTTACAAAATGCCCCCAAAAACCAGACATTTATTGGCAGGAAGAAGATGCTGAATCTTCAAGTCATTGCTTATATACAATGGCTTTTAAACAGAGGGCTAAAGAAAGAAGGAAATACTTATAAGTGGTCTGAAAAATACCATTAGAATTCTGGAGGTAGCAAGAGATGCTCTGAAAAAAGGCAATACTCTGATTATTAGCAGCTGTGTGGATGGAATATACTGGCATTTATTGAAAGTGGGTTTGGTCAAAATGTGCTTTTTTGGAAAATCAATTTCAAGAAAACTTTGAGATTTTGGAGAGTTCTTTCTCTGGTGGGAGAAGTGACATTTCCCAAGTATTAATAAATGCACTTCAAGAACTGTTTTTTGCATTAGCATCTGGAATCTTTTGCTCTGCTACATCCTGAAAGTTGAACAGTTACACAGAATGGAGGTGTTGGTGTTCGATCAATTCTGCTCAGTGTAAGAAATGCCGAGTCTTCCAAACACTTCCTCATTTTCCATGGGGTTTAGAAAATTTATCCTTTGAATGCTTATTCTTGGCACTTCTTTGCCCATAGTAGAACTAAATCCTCTCTGTAACATTTTTGAGTGAGAGGAAGCTACATGGTGTTTGTTCTAGGTCTTTTTTCATCTAATTAAAATGTATTACCAATCTTGAACACTTATTTGTTTAAAATGAGAAACTATTACTTCTCTTAACCTCCGCACAATGTTTGTGATGACCATATTGCCATCGGTCTGTTGCTTCATATCTGATTTGACTTTCTGCTTTGCAGACCTCCAGAACTGGGTGGGCCTCCTCCAGGAAAAGCAGTGTTATCTATGAATTGTCTGAGTTTTGGCGTGATAAGAGTGGATACAGAAGAGAAGTTGTCAGTGTTAACTGTACAGGATGTTGGTCAGATTATGCCTGGAGGTAGGAGAGTATTTCATGTAGGTTTAAGCATATTCCACATCAGTTATTTTACTCTTATGAAATAAAGCAGAATGTCAAATGATAAATACCTTTAAGGTGGTATGACTTAACGTTTTGACACATTACCTAAACACATGGCAAGTAAATACTGTCTCAATTAGATTATTCAATGTTTTCAGTAGAGATTAATCCACAGTAAATTTGAATGACTATAGGTTTTGGTACAAGCAGATGCTTTTGGCTGATGTGCAGAACTGGTTTAGTATTCACTTGTTAGCATTAGTGCTGACTGAATAACAAATACAACAGAATAAAACAAAACATAAACTGTATTAAGAAATATTCTGTCTTTCATCCAGGAGTGATAGTCCACATGTTAGAAGGCAACAGAATATCCCAGTTGGAAGGGACGTACAAAGATCATCTAGCCCACCTTCCTGACCAGTTCAGGGCTGACCAAAAGTTAAAGCATGTTATTGTCCAAATGCCTCCTAAATACTGACAGGCTTGGGGCATTGACCACCTCTCTTGGTCTCCGGAGTGACCTGGGGCATTTGACCACCCTCTCAGTAAAGAAATGCTGCCTAATGTCCAATTTAAACCTCCCCTGACACAGCTTTGAACCCTTCCCACATGTCCTATCACTGGATAACAGGGAGATCAGCACCTCCCTCTTCACTTCCACTCCTCAGGAAGCTGCAGAGAGCAAAGAAAGTCCTCCTTCAGCTTCCTTTTCTTCAAACCAGACAAACCCTCAGCAAGGAAGACGTACTCTTGGTAGAAGAGATGACGCTGAGGAATACTTAGGCAAAGTGCACATGTACATGGGCCCTAATGGGAGCTTGTGGAGCCTTCATTCTTGGAGCTATTAAAAAGCTGTCTGGACATGGTCCTAGGCAACTGGCTCTAGGTAACCTGGCTTGAGTTGAGGGGTTGGACCAGATGACTTCGGGAGGTCCCTTCCAACCTCAGCCATTCTGAGGACCCTGGTCTGCATATCCCAGCAAACTGGTCAGTCCTGGATTAACCTCAGTTTCTTAATGACATCTGTTTGCAACACTGTGCTTCTTAAAGTAGGTAGATACGAGTATTGTTCCCCAGCCCATTGAGTGGATTTAAGGAGAGGCTTTGTCTCTTCCCTGTTGTTCTCTTTTGAGGCTGTGCTCCTGAGTCACGTATTACTTGGAGAGGAGAGGAAAGCACTCTAAGGAAGATGAATAGAGTTAGGGTGCCAAGCCAGACCTAACACTGTGGACAAGGACTCGGCTGTGTGTCCTGAAAGACCACTTAGTGCCATCTACTCCAGAAGTGAAGATGGCAGCATTTAGGTCGGTAGTGTAATGTGCCTTGGCACTATCTGTCTGAGGGTACCATTGGCTTCAGGCCCTGTTCTGACCTGGTCTGGGTGTGCTTGGAGAGGATGAGATAACAGGTTTATTTGAATTCTCCTTACTCTTTCAGGTTTACTGTGTAGTGACCAAAGAACCTGATTCATTCTAGTTCCTTGGCACCTGTGGCTCTGCTGTTAGTGGTCCCATTATGAATTTAATTTCTTGCTGAGCTGTGGTTCCAAAGCCTTCCTCTTTGCAGAGCATTTACTCAAGGTACAGAGAAGAGGAGAGCCACCTCTTCTTCAGGGACTGTAGTGATGGGGCAAGGGATGATGGGTTCAAACTGAAACAGGAAGTTCAGGTTAGATGTAAGGAAAAGTTCTTTACTGTGAGGGTGCTGAGGCGCTGTCACAGGGTGCCCAGAGAAGCTGTGGCTGCCCCATCCCTGGCAGTGTTCAAGGCCAGGTTGGACACAGGGGCTTGGAGCAACCTGCTCTAGTGGAAGGTGTCCCTGCCCGTGGCAGGGGGTTGGAACCGGATGAGCTTTAATGTCTCTTCCAACACAAACCAGTCTGGGATTCCATTTGGTGCTATTTCAGCAACCACCTCTTCTCTGTACAGCAAGGCCCTCATTTTGAGTAAGAGGAGGCAGACGCGTTTCCATCTGCTGATAAAAATCTGAGCCATCATGTAGCAAGTGGCACTGGTCTTGTTTCGTTTTCCTCCTTGCTCCCAGAAGTACTTTGCAGCCAGCAAGGTTGGTGGTTCAGTTTCTTAACGAACTTATATTCACATTCAGTAAATAACTCCACTTCAGCTTAACACTTGAGGAAGTAAGGCTGTAAAGGCAGGCCAGTGTCAATACAGGCACTGAGGTTAGTGTCTGTGTGTTGTTGTATGGTCTTAATGTGAAAACATGAGCAAATGCCGGGGGGGGGAAGAGTCTGGTGAGCTAATCTCACTTAATGGTTCATCTGCATGGTCAAATTCAGGTTGTTAAGCTTGTCTGCAAAGTCCGAGAAGCTGCAAGTGGCTTCTGTGTCTCAACAAAATGATTGTTTTTCCACTTGGACTAGAATACAGACAGTATTCTACTGCTACTGCTGTCTGGTTTGCCTGTTCTCACTACTGATGTCCTTTAAAACCCACTGAAATTCAGCTGGACTCTTCTACTTAGATTATGGGTTAATCACAGGGACGTGGAGAGAAAAAGCTTGCATGCCCTTCAGTTAGTCGTGGATCCTTTGGTGAACTGACTGAGGTTGACCTTGATTTTGGTCCAGTTTTCCAGAGTTCAGAAAAGTGATATCTGATGCAGGATCAAAGGAAATCTTTCTCTGGATCAGTTTATCACTTGGAGATCCTCCTGGCTTTGCGGTAGGCTTGTGCTCTGGGCAGAGGGTGCTTGACTGCACTAAGGTACAAAGCAGTTTATGCTTGTGTTGCAGCTTAAGCTGCTCTTCATATTCAACCATTAGAACTGTAAAGCCACTTGGTTAATCCTTTGTAGTGCATTTGCTCAGTGATGGGTTCAAGTCTGCTTATGATGTTGGAAGACTACCTGTATGTCTCCTTCAGGTTTAGGATGCCATTGACAGACAATTTGCAACACAGCGTGACTTTCTACGTCAGTAAGAAACATCAAGTGACTTGTCTGATTGTGTGAGGGGAGAACAGTTAAATGAATATCCATTTAGTGCCTCAGAGTGATAAGACTTATAAATGATCACTATGGCTATTTTAAAATACAGTAGCAAGTGGCAAAACTTCTTGTAGGTTAAGCATAGTTGGGCAATTTAACAAATTAACTCTTTTAAAGCTCTAATCAGCATTGGGCTATCAATGTCTGGGGCAAATTAGCTTCAATTTGACCAAATTATGCAAATTCCAGGTCTGAAGATATATTTTTAGCAGAAATTTCTCTGTGTGTTCCTTAAGTCAGAAGGCAATGCAGTAGAATTCTTTCTAGAGGATGATCCTTTATCCTGAGTGTCTCTTAAAAGAAAATTGTTCCAAGTTTCCAGAGTAGGAAGAAAGTAAAAAGGCCAGCAGTCATTTGGAGATGTGTGCCAAATGAAATGAATGACTTAAGGAAACTACTGACTTATTTCCAAATGAGTCTGCATGTACATTCTAACAGTGGCTATACTTGTGCCTTACCTAGTAAGATTTGTGGTTTTTCCTGTGGAGTATTATGGAGGATGTGCTGTGTCCATTCTCACTTGGTGTTTGGCATACAGGAGAGAACATACCACCATTTCCTTTCCTGTTAGTTGCCCTCTTGAATTACTCTGCTGACTAATGAGTCTTGCTCTTTATCTGGTTTTGGGTTTGTATTTTTTCCTTTCCTTACATTGCTGTGCTTTCACCAAAAGCCTAATTTGAGTCAGATGCCATTCCTGAAGGCTTTGTTGCATCTTCTTATCCTCACTGAATACACTGAAGTGACTACGTACCCCAGTCTCTCAATCGTCTTATGACACGTAAGCTTGTGTTCATTTGGTCAAACATTGATCAAACAGTTTGGTTCATTTGGAGCCTTCTTTGCTGTGAAAGAAGTCTCCTAGCCAAGAAGTAGTTGTCATGCTGAGGTTCGCTCAGTCAAGCCGAATGGTTTGATCTCCTTACCCTTGAAGATCCCTGGCATACCAGAAGATACCTTGAGGTGCCAGCTGGTGAAAAGGTCATGAATAAAGTGTCCACTTCTGCCCTCCTTTTCTTCACATCTTGCTATTTGTTCTGAGACACTGAGCCCACCTGCTTAGGGGATCTTGTTCCACAGACCCCTCAGCACCAGGGTCATGTCCTGTGTCACTGGTGTTTAACCCATAAGCTGCTCTTGATGCCAGATTCTCTTCAGTTGCCTTGGCTGTTTACTTTCATCATCTACCATGAATGCCAATCACAAGGACATGCAAGCATCCATGAAGAAACCTTCCCATCAAAGATAGCATGGGAATTCTTAAGAGAGAAGCTAGTATGCATTCCTGTGGAATCTTCTCTGCAGCTCCTGAAGCGTTGATGTTTTGCCTCTCCTGTTGACTACCTTGGACTGTTTTGCATTGTTTCTGTCTAGGACTGATGTTGCTAAGAAGCAGTATTTGGCTCAAAACAATAATTTGTTCATTGTTTTCATATTGCACTGGTAAAGATGGAAGGGAGAGTACCAAGCCTCTCTTCTGCCTGCTGTGTGCCTCCAACTTTCACATCACCTGGGATGCAACTGGTGTGTCATCTTGAAAGCTTATTATACCTTATGCTTGGACCTGGATATGGATGCTAGGGGTATTCAGTTAAGTTTACCTCCCTGAAACTTCCCAGCAAAGTGTTTCCATTGTTTTACAGGGATCCTTCTCACATTCTTTCTTTGGCAAAAGAGTTACCCTCTCTAATCCAGAAGATCTGTATCCCTACAGCTCCCAGTCATACAAAGCCTGCCTCATAGGAAGAGTGCTGAGGCAGCCGCTTTCTTACACTCAAGCAAAAACTCTGGGTTAGTGCCAGATCTTGGGCTTCTGCCAATGAACTTCTGCATCTACAGTTTTAAGTTCTGGACTGTGACTGTACTCAGTACCTTTCCCAGAAGTTCAAGGAGAATGGTTGGCATTTCTCAAGTGGCAGGATCCTTACTGTGTCTTCCATCTGTGGGTCTCTTGGGTGTTATTGTTTCCTCTGTCTGTGTCTCAGAAAATATCTGCCCAGATTCTGGTAGTTACCACAACGCATTTTCCCTGCAGAGGAATCTGGTTCCTTCATCTCAAGTACCTGATTTATGAAAGGAGCTGTTACAGAACAACTCTGTGAAGCTTTCAGTCTTTTTCCCGAGATTGTGAATGTGAGGTAGCAGTACCTTGTTCCCACTCAGTCATTAGAATTTATCACAGTCATCATCAGTGTGTTTCTGTCTTCACATGATGGCACAACATCTTGCCACTGCTTACCTTCTTCTCTTGGAGATCTGTGGCAATGAGTTCACTTGTGATGGGACATTTTCTTCCAATTTAAATGTTGTGCTTTGGATGCTTGTGTGACCACCTTTAGGGTCTATATTCTTGTTCATCCTAATCTAGGAATTTGGCTTGCTCTATGCCTGTTGCCCTTCCCAGGAAGGATTCAGGTCCTCGCATTGGACACCCCCATATGCTGTTTTCTTCAGAGATGAGGTTTCTCCAGAAACCCTTCAGCAGTGGTGGGATAGAGGCATTTTATCCTGGTCTTTTAGTATTTTTCTTAAGGCTTCATGCTCCAACTCAAGGCTGGAGTGCAGGGAAGTCCCTCTTGTTTTTATGCTCATGGACCCAGGCTTTTTAGGAAGGCTTGCTGACCTCAAAAAGATCGTGCAGTTCCGCTGTTAGCACACAGTAACAATCCAAATGGATATCAGTTGCATACGGATCCACTAGGAAAATGTGAGAGAGGAACAAGAGAGCACTTTCTAACACTCATCAGGCACCTTCTGCTGGTGCAGGCTTCTGGCATTCTTCTTGCCTTCCTGCTGTGCTGGTCCTGAAACATTCCAAAGCTGAATCCAGTCTTCAGTAGGGCATCAGTGCAGTCATTTGTTTGCACAGTAGGGTTCTCATCCTCTGCCAGAAATCTCATGGCAGGGCTAACTGCTGAGAGCCATCATCTATAAGAATGTACATGTGGACTCATTTGAAGAAAGCAAGCTTTACTTACCAGTAATCGGTGTTCTTTGTGATGTGTAGTCCACATGTACATTCCCGTCCCATCTGCTTTTCCCTTCTTTCTAATTCTTTTTCAGATGCAATGCTGTTGAGAGAGACTGAAATGGTGGTAGATGCACTCTCTTGTATGTCACACATGAAGCAGGAAAAGAAGGAGAAGCAAGAGTACAGGTTCCACTTTGCAGTATCACATGGCAGGGCAGAACTCTGCCTTCTGTTAGATTGTACGTGTACACTGCCTGTACCATACATTGGTTACTGGTAAGTTTCTTGGTTTGTTTTGGGTTATTTGACTTGATCAGGGTGATAGGATAGTCCTTGGGCTTCATGGATGGAGCAGCATCTGGGGACTGTAGGTTAGGTTTCCCATGTTTGTGAATGAGTTCAGGATGTAGCATTTGTGTATGTCTACAAATTGTGCTTTCCCTTCTCTCTGCATCACTGCTTAAGCGTTACAGAATTACAGAGTCCCTTGTGCCTTATCCCTCCACCTCCTTCTTCTTCCCTTTCGGGCTACAACAGGATAAATCCAGACTGCTTAAGCAAGGGCTCTACTTAGCCAGAGAAACATCTGAGGAAACAGTGATTTCAGAAGTCAGATATAAGCAGTGGACAGACCAAAGCTCAGTGTGATGTTTGTTTTACAAGTGTGTATATCCTTGATCAGAAACAAGAGTATTTCAGTGTAGGAAGAGAAAATTGGTAATGATAATAGCACCTTTATGAAATGCAGTTCTTTTAATGCATTAAAGAAGGGCATCAAACTGAGGATAGGTATCTTCTTATTTTTCATCTTTACTCCCATGTATGCTTGTACTTGATCAAACCTTTCATGTTGAAAAGAAATTGCTATGGTTTTGGATTTGGTTGCAGTGATGGGTACACTGTGAAGCACTGTAGCAAAAACAAATTGCATTGGCAAACTTGGATCTGTAATCTTGGAGAGCACATTACACAGGCTCTCAAAAAGATGGAACTCTCTTGCATGCCATGTGTTTGCTGTAGCTGATAGATAAATGATATTACAATCTTGAGCTGCCCGTCAGTGGCAAAGCAATGTCTGTGTCAGCTGCTGAAGCATACCAATGCTGTGACTGTGTTCTTTCTCTCCCTTTAGCAAACGTGTGTGTTGTGAAGGTAGATGGGACTCCTTACCTGTGCAAAGCTGACGAGGTTGGAGAAATATGTGTGAATTCAGGTGCAACTGGGATGGCGTATTTCGGCCTCCTCGGAATCACCAAGAATGTTTTTGAGGTTGGTATTTCTCTTTGTAATGTCAAGTTTTATTGTTATATTCTGTCTCTTAGGGAATTTGGACAAGGGCCTGTAGGGACAGGACAAGGGGAATGGCTTTAACCTGCCAGAACAGGGGAGACTGAGATGAGCTCTTAGGCAGAAGCTCTTCCCTGTGAGGGTGCTGAGGCGCTGGCACAGGATGCCCAGAGAAGCTGTGGCTGCCCCATCCCTGGCAGTGTTCAAGGCCAGGTTGGACACAGGGGCTTGGAGCACCCTGCTCCAGTGGAAGGTGTCCGTGGCAGGGCATTGGGACTGGGCAAGCCTTAATGTGCCTTCCAGCCCTGGGGATCCAGACTGGGATTCTGTGATTACAACCAAAACTACAAAGTAGAATGAGCAGTCAGTGAGCTGCCCCTGTATTCTGCAGTCCAGTGTTGTGCCTGTGTTATCATTTTAATTCATCTTAGTTCTGGATTAACACGTCAGCCTTGTGTAAAGTTACCTGAAGACATTTCAAGGCTGTTGGTGCACAGCTTGGGACATAAAGTCAGAAGTTGCAAATGCAAGCTGCTTCATGCAATCAAAATGCATCTAGAAAAGCTTCCTTTGTGTATTGCAAATTGTGTGTGCTTTTCAAAATGAACTTTAGTGTTGGTTTGCTGTAATGCTTAGGACACCAAGCGGTTTGCTGTTGGATATATGAAATTACGTTCCTAAATACATGGATGAAGATACAGTAAGGATGATAGCCTATCAGTCCTGAGTCTTGTAGTTCATCACAGCAAAAGCAATCTTTCTGCCCAGATTTTCTTCACAGTGGTATCCCAATTTCATGTTTTCCCTTCTCCGGCAAGAAAGGAGTGAAAGTCCTTTAAGAGTCGCACACACACAGTGTTACAGTGGACAGCAGTTGGAAGACTCAGCTGACATATGGAGTTCTACCAGAGAGATGAAAGTAATCCTCACCATCATCCTCTCCTACAAAAAAGCTCTCTCTGTCAGCTTGCCAAACCTCAACACTTCAAACAGCTTTAGCTTTCAGCACTGTGCTAGTGAGAGACAGCAAGAAACCTAATGGAATGGAAGAGCTGGGGGGTGGGAGGAAGGCAAGGAAACCACCTGATGAGATTAATGCTTTGCTCTGGTTCTCTGCTGTAGGCAGCCCCATCACTGCAGCTAAATGAACTTTCTCAAGGTTCTGATAGCAAAGTGTTTGTCACAGTTGGGGTGATGTGCATGGGTACATACCTCAAGCAACAGAAGGACTTCCTGATAAAGTGCTGTCTGAGTGTATACTATAAATCCCAGTTCAAAAGCAGTGTGAGCTCTTGTTACAAAGGCGAAATGGCTGAGAGGTAAAGAATTCTACCACAGAGTTTGGAAGAGGTGTGCTCTTCATTATCCAAAACCCTGTGTGGTGTTGGTACTTGACATGATAGTAACTGTTGTCATCGGGTAATTTCTCAGCTGAATGTAGAGCTGCAGTGAAACGGAAGCAGAAAGCATTTTAGCTTCACTTTTCTTGCCAGGACTGAGTGTCTCAATACTGCCATGTCCTTTCAGGCCATCCCAGTGACGGCAGCCGGAGTGCCTGTTTCAGACCAACCCTTCACAAGGACAGGATTGCTTGGCTTTGTGGGTCCTGTAAGTGTGACTGAGCCATCCGGGCCTCTGCTTTGTCCTGACTCCCAGCTCTTAAGCGATGCCCCTGAATTCATCAGCATTCTGTGTCAGGGCAGTGACCTTGGGATCTTGAGAATGATTTTTGGCTATAGTCAAGCATGTATCACCCAGAGTCTGGAGATTTTCCCCCTCTATTTCTAACCCTGTCTTCTTTTCAGGACTATCTGGTGTTTGTGGTAGGAAAATTGGATGGCCTAATGACAGTTAGTGGCCGCAGGCACAACGCAGATGATGTGGTAGCCACAGCACTGGCTGTTGAACCCATGAAGTTTGTGTATCGGGGAAGGTAAGTGGGTTAAAACCTTCACCACTGCTCATTGGACTTTGTTGTTGCTTTTTTCACCTGCAAATGATCAACAAGTAGCATAGTGTACGCGGGAGCTCTGCATGTGCATTTTTACATGGGTATTTTTAGGAAAGATGGCCCTAGGTTGTGACATGCCAGGTAAGAATTTGGCTGTCCCTCCTAATGTGTAAGATAAATATTGACAGCCTCAGTGTATACATACAATATATACAATGCTTCATGTATAATAGATTTGAAATTAATTTCACTTAGTATTAAACATAGATCATTAAGTGTCTGTTTAAAACTTCTTTCAAAGCTTCTTTTAAGATAGTCAAATGATGGTTGTATGCCAAATGTAAAACACAACTACCCTTTGGCCACTTGGGCCTTCCATACAGACTGGCCTAGGGAAGAGCTTTGCAGCGTGTTCTAAAGGATAAACTCTTAAAGTGTTGAGGGTGCTGCAGGACCTCAAAGATAGTGTGTGTTGTGTCACCAGCATTATTGCTCTTCAGGGGCTCAGTGTCCACATGGAGGTTAGTGATGAGTGGTGCCCTCAGGGGTCCATACTGGGACCAGTACTGTTTAATATCTTCATCAACAACACAGACAGTAGGGTTAAGTGCTCCCTCAACACATTTGCAGGTGATATCAAGCTGAATGGTTGACCTGTGGGATGGGACACCATCCAGGGGCACCTGGACAAGCTCAAGAAGTGGGCCAGTGTGAATCTCATGATGTTCAACAAGGCCAAGGGCAAGGTCCTGCACCTGAATTTGTGCAACCCCCAGTATTTAATACAGGCTGGGGGATGAAGGGATTGAGAGCAGCCCTGAGGAAAAGGACTTGGGGTTGTTCGCTGATGAGAAGCTCCCCATGGTCCAGCTTCAGTGAGAGCTTGAGCCCAGAACCCCCCCCATGTGCTGGGCTGCTCCCCCAGAGCTTGAGCAGCAGCTCAGGGAGGGGATTCTCCCCCTCTGCTGTGCTTTGGGGAGACCTCCCCTTGCACTCCTGATCCAGTTCTGGGGCAACAGCACAAGAGGGACATGGAGCTGTTGGAGTGAGTCCAGAGGAGGCCACGGAGATGCTGCGAGGGCTGGAGCAGCTCTGCTCTGGAGCCAGGCTGAGAGAGCTGGGCTGGTTCAGCCTGGAGAAGAGAAGGCCCCTTAAGGGGCCTTACCTAGAGGGGCCTTACAAGAAAGACAGTGACAGACATTTTAATACAGCCTGTAGCAACAGGACAAGGGTTCATGGTTTTAAACTAGGAGAGGGGAGATTTAGACTAGATATAATGAATAAAGTTTTTCAACAAGGGTGGTGAAACACTGGGGCAGGTTACATAGGGGTTGATGCTGTAGCCCTGGAAACAGTCATGGTCAGGTTGGATGGGGCTCTGAGCAACCTGATCTCCCTGCTCATTGCAGGAGTAGGGTTGGACTTCATGAGATTTAAAGATCCCTTCCAACCCAAACCATTCTGTGAAAGTTGAGCTTTCTTTATCTTTGCATCACTTTTGCAATTCAACTTTCACAAAACTAATGGCACATACCTGGTTGAGGCATTACTAATATTTTATCCTAGAAGATGTAAGCCTAAAACTAATGTAATTCACAGATGGGCAGAAGTCTTTTTCAGTGCAAGCATTACTAGACGTGCTGGTCAGTAATTTGGCATAGTTGTCTTTCAGAAAGGACATCAAATGTAGGTACAGCAAGTTCAGCAGGCATGATGGGAGTTACATAGGGAAGGTTTGTAGAGACCCTGCGCATATGGAACCTGTCTGTATTAAACATGTGCTATTTGGTGACTGCAAATTCTCTTGACCCCCAATAGGAATAAATTACAATAATGAACCTACATTTGCTCTCAGTTTATCTGTGATTTTGTGATGATCTGGCATATCTAATGCCTGTATGTGGTGAAGCAGGACAATTAAAGGTTGCAGTCGTTTCCACATTCTAATAAACCCTGCTGTGTTCCTCAGATGTTGCATCCTATCATTCTTCTGTCCTTTGTATTTTAGGATAGCAGTGTTCTCTGTCACCGTTTTGCATGATGATCGAATAGTGCTCGTGGCAGAGCAGCGCCCTGACGCGTCAGAGGAGGATAGTTTTCAGTGGATGAGCAGGGTTCTACAGGTAGTCAGTCTGTCCTTCCTCTCTTTACAAGTGAATAAGGCTGATGTATGAAATGAGAATATTAAGAGCACCTTTTTTTCCATAAGGAAAACCTATCAGTGTAACTACAGAGAGCTGTAATAAATTGACTTCGGATTAGTATTCAAGGGTTAACAGTCACCAGACTATTTCAGCATGGTTTTAAACTTCATACTACTGGGATGATAGTTTTTCTTTGTTCAAATTCTCCATATCTCTGCTGATTTCATACTGGCTGGAGAGTTAAGCCTGAAAATGTTTAAGTACACACTTAGCACCAGGTATCAGACTCTGAAATCCTGTTATGTCACTAACATCGTTATTCCAGATCTCCAACAGTAAGCATTAAAAATTCTCTTCCCCTGGTAACTTTATTGTGTTTCTGTGGGGAGGCTAAGAGGGGAATTGCATTTGAGGAACTGAGAATTAATCCATTGGTTCTCATTAAGTAAAAAGCAAGAGAGCAGTTCTGGAAGAAGATGCTGGTAAAGGGACAACTAAAGGAAGGCAGGAGAGAACATCTTAAGGGAGGATTTCTCTTAAGACTAAGACAGCTGTGTAATAATGGTTTCTAATTTTGTCTCTGCAGTCTTTTCAGAGGGGATATCTGGTAATAGAAAAGCTGTTTTTCATGGGAAAAAGTATTTTATTTCTCTTTTTAGAAGTGTCACAGCTAAACCAGACACTGACGTTTTAGGCAGCGAGATGTTTCCCTCCCTGTTTTCGTGGGTTTATGTTCTACTGCGCTTCTGTGATTGTACCATACATGCTAAATTTGATGTGATATCATTTTGGCTTTTTAAGAACTCTGCACTTTTTGCCCACTTTTAAGAGACTTTCCTAATCCCTGATGTGCAGGTGGCATCCCCTTGATACAGTGCACAAGCAAAGTCCTGGGTCTGCTCCTGCTCCCATTGAAGTCATGGCACAACTTCTATGAGTTCAGTGAGTGCAGAATTGGACCCTTTATTTGCAAATTGTGGTGCAAGTAAAAACCTTAATGTTATTAAATGACTTGAATTCAAATTCTTGCTCTAGCTACATGCAGTTCATAACGTGGAACATCTTTCTTTCTTTCTATCAAGGCAGTTGATAGCATTCACCAAGTGGGCGTCTACTGTCTTGCCTTGGTGCCAGCCAACACTTTGCCAAAGGCTCCACTTGGAGGAATTCATATTTCAGAAACCAAGCAACGCTTTTTAGAGGGTGCTCTGCACCCTTGTAATGTCTTGATGTGTCCACACACTTGTGTCACTAACCTGCCTAAGCCTCGGCAGAAACAACCAGGTGAGGAAAGGAGCTTGTTCCCTAGTTCTCTTTCTGTCTCTAGGGGGATGCATGGAGAGGGGTCTAGAGGCCACTCGGTGCTGTGCATGTTGGATGGCTTTAAGCTGCCTGACTTGGCAGGGCTTGGGGTGTTGTCGGAGCATGCCAGACCTCAGAGTGGGCATTACATTATAGTCTGCCCTGATTCCCAGTGAATGCAAGGTCATCCAGCACAAATCCATTTTATGCTTCTGTAGCTACGTTATAAATTGCTCCTGTATGGGCCATCTTGCAAAGGGTAGTAACTCATGTAATAAAACTCAAGTACGGACAGACCTCAGTTTGCTGAATCAGTAATAGACTGATTTTTAATGTACCATACTGATAATGGAGTCATTTTTAGCGTACTGTCCTCTTCTTTTGCTGTGCAATATGATCCTTGGGTTTAGGTTTTCATCTTTTCAGTTGTATGTTACATATATAGTATTCTCCAGGCTGAGTTATAGATTATTACATGTTCCTTACACTTCTTTTTCCTCATTTTGCACTGGTTTTAAAAATACAGATGTTGGTCCTGCTTCAATGATAGTAGGAAACCTTGTTGCTGGAAAGAGAATTGCGCAAGCCTCTGGGAGAGATGTTACCCAGTTGGAGGATAATGACCAGGCAAGAAAGGTAACACATCCTGATCTTACTAAGTATTTGAATTGGCTTATTCAGAATGAAACAAGAGCAGCTGTGGTATCCCACTGAAACTAAGCATGGTGCATTGTGAGTGAATCAGTGTCTCCTTTTTTCCTCTTGCAGTTCCTGTATTTAGCAGATGTTCTTCAGTGGCGAGCTCAGACGACTCCAGATCATCCCCTCTTCCTTTTGTTGAATTCCAAGGTGAGATGCACTTTAGGTCATACCTGGAGATGGAGATCAGCAAAAGAGTGTTTGGATTCTAAGGAAATTCCAGTGAGAATTCTTTTTCTAAAATGCTTCCAAGTTATTTTGAGGAAGCAGACAAAAAATGGCTAGTTAGCAAGCAGCAGAATTTTTCCACCTCTGGAATTTCAGTATGGATTCTGCATAGCTTAAAACATCACACTAATTGCATTTCCTGCTGCAACACAACTTTTGTCCTGTTAATGGAAGCCACAATTCTGCCTTCATCCCTGAGCACAAGGGTAAGTGGAAGTCAGAGATGGACCTTTACTCAAGGTCTATATGAACCCTTACGACATATCACAAGGCAACAGTCATGTTTCTCAGCTAAATACTCATTTTTACTCATAGCCACTCTGCTCTGCATGTGAATTTTGGTAGTTCTGGAGAATTCACTTGCCTTGTGCATCCGACACTTTGTAAAGGGGTCTGAAACATGCGTGGAGACCTCCTAGCAGCCTTCCAGTATCTGAAGGGGGGCTATAGGGATGCTGGGGAGGGACTCTTCATTAGGGATTGTAGTGACAGGACAAGGGGTAACGGGTTAAAACTTAAACAGGGGAAGTTTACATTGGATATAAGGAAGAAGTTCTTTACTGTAAGGGTAGTGAGGCACTGGAATGGGTTGCCCAGGGAGGTTGTGAATGCTCCATCCCTGGCAGTGTTCAAGGCCAGGTTGGACGAAGCCTTGGGTGAGATGGTTTAGTGTGAGGTGTCCCTGCCCATGGCAGGGGAGTGGAACTAGATGATTTTAAGGTCCTTTCCAACCCTAACTATTCTATGATTCTATGAAACAACCTGCACTTGTGTACGTGCCTCAGTATTTACGCTTCCCTGGGCTTGAGAAATACTCCTGCTGTGTTAGTGAGAAAACCCAAATCTTTTAGATTCTTCTACTGCTATTCTGGCACTTTCTTTATTGCCTTCTGGAAAGAAAGAAGGGGAAAGCTGGACATTTGGTTTTGGTTGAGCCTTTACTCAGTAGCTAACCTTCCAGTGACAGTAACATCCCAGTGACAAATTGGGTCTGCCTTGGGCTGTGCTGTACTGCAGACATGTGAGATAGGGAATGTGCTTTCAGAAGGTCCTTAGGAAGTAAAAGATTTGCCTTGGGAGTCTCATTTAGACAGGCAAAATGATTTAAGACATGGTTCAAAGTTCTGACTTTTTCTCATGGGGCTGCTTTAGCAGAAGAAACTGCCTCAGTATTGCTGAAAGACCCAGAATTGGTTTATCCTTCTTTCAGAATATTTATTCTTCAGGTGCATCTTTCCAGATGCACAGGTGGGGGAAATACACTTTAAGAAGTGCCCGTGCAGAGCAACCACAGCTCAGGTTGCCTCTCTGAGCCTTCAAAACAGCATCTATATCAAAGACATCAGCAGAGTTCCCTTTGCACTTTTGAGACTGCTGACACAAAAGCAGTGTGGAGGTGTGGCTGAGCAGGGTGAGGCAGAGCTGATGCAGTGCTTCTGCTGCTGCTAATACTAATGCTGCTAATATGTTACTACTATTTCCCTTGGACTGTGGCTTTTCAAGTATTTGTAAGATACTCTTTTTGTGGTACCAGATACATTCAGAATCCAGTCCTGTCTGATGTTCAAAACAGCATGTGTAAGATTCAGTAGTGTTCTAAAGTTCCTGTTACCAGCAGCTTGGTTTCCAAAACACCTAGACAGAGTCTTCAAAAGCGTGCTGTTAAACTAAGGACAATGAAACATTACATCTGCAGCATGTACTTTGAAAGTGAGTAGTTCCCTGATGTTGCTCCTTTTCTGTGCAGGGCACTGTAGCCAGCAGTGCATCCTGCATACAGCTACACAAGAGAGCAGAAAGGGTGGCAGTCGCACTGCTGGAGAAAGGACGACTGAATGTAGGTGACCATGTGGCCCTGGTTTATCCTCCAGGTAAGGGAATACAGACAGCAAAAGTCAAAAGTCAGACACCACAAGGAAAGAAATAAGTCTTGCCCAGGTGGAGCATTCAGACACCCATTTAGTACAGTGCTATATGGCAGTGACTTAGTGTTTCGAGGAAGAGACTTTTTGTCATTTTATTATTAAGTTGCTGCTTCTACATTTACCAAACATTTCAACCTCAGAGAATGGAATAAAACTGTGCATATATCCATTAAAAGACAGATGAGAGATCTAGGTGTATGGACACCTATCTTTCCTGAGTGGCTGTCTCTAGAAGTGGAATCTGGACCTCAAACTTGTATTACTGATATGTATTTAGGAGTGCACCTCAGGAAAAAAGAGTCTTACCTCATAAAAGTAGGATGACTGCATATTCCAGAGTGATAACTGTGAAAAACAAATGTCATTTTCATAACCCACAGTACTTTGTTATTTTATCCTACCCGTCCATGAAAACATATCCCTATTTAAAGTTTGTAGGGTTTGAATCATTTTTGCTAACTCTCAAATGCAAAATCTTTTAACCTTATAGAATGGGGGGTGGCTAAGAACACCCTGTTGATTTGAAGAGACCTTTGTGACAAATCCTTACCTCTTAGTAAAAGAAACTGGGTGTGTTTTGATTTTGGAGAAAGAGTTTGGCCTTTTGTTCTCATAAAAATGGCTTTAATGTTACAAATATCCTTTACAGGAGTAGACTTAATAGCAACTTTCTATGGCTGCTTATATGCTGGCTGTATACCTATCACCGTTCGCCCACCTCATCCACAGAACCTTGCTACCACTCTGCCCACTGTCAAAATGATTGTAGAGGTATGTATAAGGCATCCCCCTTCTAGTGCTTTTGGTAGGTGCAGGATGGTTGATGCAGCCTGATAAATTGCTTTGCCATAGTCCGTATAAAATAAGGCAGGAAAAGAAATAATCAGTATGCTATGACTGACTCAGTGAATACCTTTTTTACAACTCATTTAAAATGTTCTGTCTGTTGTTGTGATAGTGATTTTGCTTCATTTCCAATGGGGATTTTTCATCTATTCACCTTACTGGTTCTCTCATCTGGATGGATATGAAATTACGTTAGCATTCATTTGTTAGTTTTATACATGGTTTTGATGCTGTGTCTTTTACAGGTCAGTAAGTCTGCCTGTATACTGACCACACAAGCGATAATGAAACTGCTGAAGTCCAAGGAAGCTGCAGCAGCTGTAGATATTAAGACGTGGCCCACTATTTTGGATACAGGTACAGAATGTTTGCCAAAATCAGTTTGAAGACTGATTTCTTTCTTTTGTTACACCATAACTTCCTAACTGAATGGATGTATCTAACATTGCATCACAATATCTGTCCAGAAACCATAGCAAGCATCTGGTGGTAATGCTGTCAAGATAAATTTTTGTCCTGTATTTTGCAAAATAATACTAGGGTACTCTTCTTTTTCTGTGTTTTAAATAGATGATATGCCTAAAAAGAAGCTGGCTGGTATTTTCAGACCTGCGTCTCCAGATATGTTGGCGTACTTGGACTTCAGCGTGTCTACTACTGGTATATTAGCAGGAGTAAAGGTAGAGTAACAAGAGAGAGATTATTCTACTTCATTTCCTTATATGCAGGTATATTCTGCATTCATTTCTCCTGCCAGAGAAGAAATACAGAAACGTAAGCGGAGCATCCTAGTGTTCAGAGGCATGACATCAACACTTACTGATGCACTTCTTGGAGACATTCAGCCTTTACTGGGTCTGTGTGAAGAATCACCAAGGGGACTGATGGAGTGTGTTTGTCATTAAGTCCATGAATGTTTTCTTTTGCAATTTATAGTAGAGGTGTGAGATGTTGTTTAGCATCATTCAGTGTCACGACAGATGTCATTGGTCACTAGCGTGAAAAGTACCTGTGAACTTTTGGGCTTATATCCCTTTCTTGTGTTTTAAAGGTGCTTAAAAAAAAAAACAAAACCACTACATGTTGCCATGTCTTCTAACAGCAAACATTTCTGTATTTCATGTGATACCCTTTTTGGTTTAAAGCCCCTGAGAGCACCTCTTTTTGTCCTGCAGATGTCACATGCAGCTACAAGTGCCTTATGTCGCTCTATAAAGCTACAATGTGAGCTGTACCCTTCACGTCAGATTGCCATCTGTCTTGACCCTTACTGTGGCTTGGGATTTGCTCTGTGGTGTTTGTGCAGGTACGTCCTTTGGATCATAGGCTCTCCCATCCATTCCAAGCCTTCTCTAGAATCCCAGGGAACAGTCAATGGCTGAAACTGTCAGAGAAACCCAAATTAACCTTTTTGTAGGTACTTCATAAAGTACATTTTGGGGTAACAAAATTCATGTAGGTTACTTGAGTAACTTGGGGTTTGCAAGTGGAATTAAGCAGATACCAAATCCAAGAAAAAAAAGGACTTCACTGTCTTTTTCACATTGATTAAATAAATCCTTTTAAAGTCTTTTGAGAGTAAACTGTATCTTTGTACAATACCCCCAAGGTGCTGACTGTTGCAGATTTATTTCAAATTCTTATCCAAGGGAATCTAAGCGGAGACCTTAGAGCAGCTCCAGTGCCTAAAGGGGCTGCAGGAAACCTGGAGAGGGGCTTTGGACAAGGGCCTGTAGGGACAGGACAAGGGGAATGGCTTTAACCTGCCAGAACAGGGGAGATGGAGATGAGCTCTTAGGCCGAAGCTCTCCCTGTGAGGGTGCTGAGGCGCTGGCACAGGGTGCTCAGAGATGCTGTGGCTGCCTCATCCGTGGCAGTGTTCAAGGGCAGGTTGGACACAGGGGCTTGGAGCACCCTGCTCTAGTGGAAGGTGTCCCTGCCTGTGGCAGGGGCTGGAACTGGATGGGCTTTAAGGTCCCTTCCAATCCAAACCATTCTGTGAAGTTCAGATAGATTCCATGTTCTCAGTTTTCCTGTATTTGCTTCATTATGACTTTATGTAACTTTTGGCTTTTTATATGCTGGCTTGAAGTTTTCATCTTTCTATTTCTTCCTCTTCCTAGTGTCTATTCGGGTCATCAGTCTATTCTAGTCCCTCCTCTGGAACTGGAGAGCAACGTGTCCATCTGGTTGTCTGCTGTCAGTCAGTATAAAGTGCGCGTCACGTTCTGCTCTTACTCTGTGATGGAGATGTGCACCAAAGGGCTTGGAACACAGACTGATATACTCCGGGTGAGTGGACTTCATTTTTCAACATAATGACATCTAAATACATGTATCTTTCTGAAATCTTTCGTTTTAGCCTGCAGAAGATGGGACCATAAGTGTTTTATGAAGCCTTTAATTATGACTTGCTTTTTGGAAAACACTGAGACTGCTGGAATTTTCAGCTCTCAGGTTTCTGGTGGGGAAGAAGAGAAGTTCTTCTGTTTTCAACTATACTTATTTGTGCCACCTCTGTGCTGCTTGCTGGGTATTGAGTTCTGAAACGGCTGTTATCTTCCTAGCGGCAATAATTACACAGTAATTGATAGTAGTAGTAATTGATAGTTGATCCATTTATTTTTGAGGGATATCTCTTAACTGAAACTGTATTTCCTTGAGGAGCTGCCTCTGTCTCAGTGGCAGGAGTGTTCCCACGGCTGTAGTAACTAAGCTGCTCAGGACTTCCACTGGGAATGTCTGGCAGCTTGTTGTGCACAAGAAAGTGGCTTCATTGTACTTATTCTCAGTATAGACAGCAAACTCTGTCCCTCTGTTCTCATTGAAGGGAATCTTGGCCCGCAACCAGTTGCTACAGGTTCACATTCATGCTGATGAGAGCTTCTAATGTCTCATACACTGCTTGCATCTGAACTGGGGTGAGCAGGTCCCCTGTGGGCCCAGCCCTGTGAAACAATGACACTTTGTGGGGTTTTCAGCCCAGAATGATGAGTGGCTGGGTTGCAGCTACACCATGCAAGTAGGTTTTATGCAGAAAAAAAGCCCTGCCACAAAGCTGCTTGGGACAGTTTTAGAAGGTTGTCCTGGGTCGATGGAGCCAAACTGAGCGCGGGCTGTGTGTATAGTGTTTAACCAGTTTATGTCACTTATTCCAGTGTTTTGGAAGTCCCTCTGTTCTGTGAATTGAAATGGCTTAGTTCTAGAATTGTTGACTTCAAACTTAAGAGGTTGTTTTCTTCACCCAACCTCTCAGATGAAAGGAGTTAACCTGTCCTGTGTGCGAACGTGCATGGTGGTTGCAGAGGAGAGACCGAGGATTACATTAACACAGTCTTTCTCCAAGTTATTCAAAGACCTGGGCCTCTCTGCTCGTGCAGTGAGCACTACGTTTGGGTGCAGGGTCAACGTGGCAATTTGCTTACAGGTGAGATTAAACTCTTTATTCCTTATACAGAATCTCTGGGAACTTTATAGGAAATCATGTTCATTCATATAAGTCCTTTTGTAATGAGCTAGAGCTCCATTGCTTGCTTGCTTCATCACCAAGTAAATAAGCTTTGGAGATGCGTATTATGATAATTTCACTGTTCTGTACTAATGGACCAATTGATTTCCCTTTCTAATAAAGAGGACCAGTATTAAGAAACTTGTTTCCTTCCTACTATGCAGGAGCTTCCTGTTCACAAACACATGAAATATTTCAAGCAATGCTATTTCAGCTTTTGTGTCATTCGGATTTTGTCTGTTTGAAAAACAGCTTATGTATATGTTGAAATAAATGGAAGAAAGAGTTCCTTAAATAAATCCCATGAAAATTGATAAGGATGGCAGGTTTTTTACTTCTAAAGATCTCAACAGTAGTATCAGCAACATGCAAATACATTTGTCTCACCTCGTGAGAGTTAGACTTCTTTTTACAATTAAAGGTATAAATTGGAAGCTTTGAGGGGGAGAATATGCCCATAAAGTATAAACAGTCCCACTTCACAGACTGGAGATCAGTTTCTGTGGTTTCTGTCACACATATTAAAGGAGAAAAGGTTTTTAACAACCCCTAGAGAGATGGTTATAAAGAAATGTGGCCAGAGCAATTTTATGAATCGATAGATGGAAAAATAGGAAGGATATAGATGAAATTCATTAAATTCATTCAATAAGGCATTTCAGATGCCAAGTGCAAAAGAACAGCTTTCTGAATTGGCTGCCTAAATGGGGATTCTAAAAGCCAGGTTTGCGTAGTTGCTGTTCAGACTGCACAGACGGGGGGGGAAACCCCAACAGTTTTTCTGCAGGATGCTAAATGGCAATGTGAAAAGTACTGCAAGAAAACTGTGAAGACTGAAGCTTCCCCTTCATTTTATACCTTTTTCATCTCTGTTCTCCATTCTTTAGCCCTTTCTTAGTGTCTTGGGGGATTTTTAAACCTCTTTTCCCCATTCTTCCAAAGTGATACCCGTATTTGACTTTTTAAATCACAGAACTTAGATGGCTATAGATAAATAGCCAAACTGAATGGGTGTTTGATACAAGTTAGCATGCAAATAAATGCATAATGTTTTCCAGCCTTACTGGACTGTTTTACTGAGAAGGTGTTTCAGAAGCTGCAAGCAGCCTTTAGATACAAATGCAGTATGGATAAGGCAATAGGCATCTCATTATCTGCCGTAAAACTCTTCTTGTTTATTAACTGGGACTTCCATATTTCCCAGTGAAACACTTAAAAATAATGTGAAATGGAAACTTTCTGTTCACTCTATAACAGTATGAGTTTTGTTTTCTGTCTGACTGTGTGTATCTTACGTTTCCAGTGCCTCTTTGTTTGTATTTTCTTTTTTCCCCTTTCTCTCTGTTTCACACACTTTGATGGCCTCTGTTACTTCTGTTTGTGGTCCTGCTGTCAGCCAAACAGGCTGGGCAAGCTGGCTGAACAGGTATAGTGATGCATGTGTGCTTGTAATGTCCTAAAGTCAGTCTGGTTCAGCAGTATTACTCTGTAATGAATGTATGTCATTTGAGAGTTGTCATCTGGAATAGATAAAGTGAGATTTTTTTCTTCTAAAGAAGTTCAGTTTTACTCACAAAGAGCACTTGTAGCTAAAGTACAAAACCTCTTTCTCAAATGAGCCGGAAAGGGAGCTATAGCAATGATTAAAGTTACTGAAGGGTATATTCCTAGAGATAAAGCTCATACTGTTCATTTGTGTGGCCATCAGTGTCACTGAGCCTCAGCAGTGCTCTGAACATACAAGGGAATATCATAAAGACATTCTCCAGCAGCACAGTCTTGAGCTGATGGCAAAGTGGCCTCATTTGAAGTATTTCTGTAATGAGAAATGAACTGGGGGGAAGGGGGGGACAGTCACCAAAGCTTTGCCTATTTTTATAGCTTTAATATGCATTTCACAGTAGTTGCTGGCTCTCTTGAGATTCAGTTCTGCTGGGGAGTAAATAAAGTCCCCTGTTCTCATGGTGGGAAATTGGAAACTTCTCACCAGAGCTGGTCAGAAGGTTTCTTCTGGGACTGCAATAAAGCTTTGCCTGTGCCCAGGCTGTTACTGACAGGAGCCCTGTCAAAATATGGGTTGGTTGGAGTTACGTTTTAGATAAATGTTGTTAAATGTTAGTAAACATTTTCTTATAAGTTAATAAAGCTGTTACAAAGCCGAACAGTTGAGCTTTGGGACAGGGATTAAGGCCCTCATAGGTTTATGCTTACATGCTTTGCACTTGCTGTTTCTACAGGAAGTGCTTACCAAATTAAGACTTAACAGTATAAATATGTACTTCACTTGGTGCATTCATTTACTGATTCCATCAAACATCAAAGCTTTATGGCAGTCCCTCTAGTAAGGGGGGCTATTTTACTACACTACTGATAGATTAGGGCAGCACTTTAAGTGTCAGTAAAAAAGGAAGAGGAATTTGTGAATTTATGTGGCTGTGAGAACGAGAACAGGATTTTTCTGGCTTCTCCTGAATTTGTTTCTTCCTTCTTATTCTTAGGGAACAGCAGGACCAGACCCAACAACAGTCTACGTAGATATGAGAGCACTTCGACATGACAGGTACCGATTATGTTAAAGCATTAACTATTTAATGCTCCTCCTGTAGAGCAGAAAGTTCAGCCTCATTGCCTTGGTTTGCTGAAATGCTCTCAGCAGCAGCTAATCTCTCATCACCATATACAAGGAACCTCATTCTAGAGGATGACAGCTCTGTGCTGGAATTGGTCCAGCATCTACTCCTCCATCACTTGTTCTGCTGTTCCTCTCTAGAATCTCTCTTAACTTGCTGCCTGTTCATCAGTCCCATATAACCTAGACCCATTAGCTGTTTCTTACCTGGTCATATGCTTAGCAAAAGGTGACTTTGCCAGCTGGGTGGTTAGTCACAGAAACACAGTAACATCTGGAGTAGGCAGAATCTCTGATACCCCTCAAGCAACCTCCTGCTCAGAGCAGGACCAGCTTCAAGACTTTATGAGGTTACTGAGGTCCAGAAGCAGTTCAGTACAGAACATCTCCAAGAATAGAGATGCTCCTTCTGTGTGTGTGTGTGTGTGTGTGTGTGTGTGTGTTATGAGACTGACACCCCACTCGGGGGAAGTCTTCCTTGGTGGCACTTCCTATTCTGCATATTATGTCACTGGCCTCTTCTCCTTATAGTGAGCAAGTCCAAGAAGTCTGGCTCCATGTTCTCTCTAATGGTCCTTTAGGTAGTGGTAAAAGTAAATTAGAATCTCCCTTAGTTGTTTGGTTTGATTTGTGGGTTGGTGTTTTTTTGACTCTTCCCTTCAGACAAAAGCAACTCAATCCCCTCAGCCTTCCCAGACCCAATAAATTGATGTCAGGCCTGTATTACAGCATATCAAAACACACACACGCACATGTGTACGCACATGTCACCTGGAAACTTGCCATGGATACATCATTCTATCAGTTGTAATTCTGTAGTCATAATTTTCATATTAACTCGTCTCTCAGTTAACACAAGTGCTGGCAGCACCAAGGTTAGGGTAAGACTGTAAGTTTAGCAGGGTGCATGCACATATGTATTTGTTTCTGTACTTAGGAAGCACAATATCAAGACTTGTGTCTTGATAAATTAAATAAAGCATTTGCTTTATTTTCTTTTAAATTGATAATGTTAAATTAGGGGCTTTTGTTAACTGGGAGCTTTTGTGACTAACTCATCTCTAATTTTTGCAAGCTTAAATCTTAGCTTTTCGAAGACAAGCTCTTCACCACGTTTAGCATGACCCTGCTTGGCATCTGAACAGATCAATGTAAACTACAGTCATTTTCTCCTTCTTGAATGTATCACTATGACTTGCATGGTATATATTCCTTTTCACACCAAGTTCAGCTGTAGCCTCAAAGTTGCCACTGTGTTAGCTCAAGCCTATAGGTGTAGGAATAGTCTAATATGACATGATGTATAGGAGCTGCCTCTCTTGTATGCCTCTCCTACTGCACTCAATTCTTGTTCCTTCTGCAAATGTGCTGTCTTCGTAAGTTATGCTGCTGATGTGCTGCATGGTGTCACTTAATTCTGTTTAGGCTGCTTGCTCTTCACTTACTGTAATTCCTACTGCCTCTCTGCCATGGGTCAGTGTGGCAAGCAGAGGTGCCACAAAGTCCAACAAAGAAGGTGAATGTAAAATGCTGGTGGAACTGCAACCTTCAAGCTCTGTTGGAAACAGTTACTCAGCTCTTTCTGCTTCATTAAAGAAACGTGGTCTGTGGGAATGCTAACAGAGAAATCTTGAAGACAGCTAGAACTCTTTTAAGTTACTGCATTGTGAATAACTGAGCAAATTTTGGTTTGGTCAGTGCAGCTAAGGATAGGATAATACTTGAACACATCTATTTAAGTTCCTAAATCCTTGTACAAATGTATTCTCTTATTTTTTCAGGGTGCGTTTGGTAGAGAGAGGTTCTCCACACAGTCTGCCACTTATGGAGTCTGGGAAGGTGAGACTTTGGAGCATCCTTCCTCCTCATGACCAGTACCTGGATAGTGAGCTGCTTCAGCTGGACCTCAGTACAAAATCTGTGCAACAAGCTTCATTAATCACAGTATGTCTAGGAGAGTCATTAGAGAGAGTGCAAAATGAACAGCTATTAAAATGAAGCCAGGTGCAGGAAGTGAAGCAATAGGATATGTTGCTAAAACTGAAAATATCGGAGGCCTTCATGTGGAAGACATTTTTCAGGTGTGAAACAAACTTCAAGTCTAAAGCTGCAAAATAGTTCTTGGACTTGAAAAAATTGAGCAACTTGGTAGGAGGATATGATTGATAGCTATGGTACAGAGAAGAGCAGAAAGAGAAGACTGCACAGATTTTTGACTTCTGTGGCTCTGCATTAACTTTTCTTTTGATGAATTCAAGTTCTGTTAACTTCCATTTGCTTCTTATTCCAGATTCTTCCAGGGGTCAAGGTCATCATAGCACACACGGAAACCAAGGGACCTCTGGGAGACTCGCATTTAGGAGAGGTAAAGCTTTGATGCTGCTGTACTTGTAGTGATTTAATATATAGATAAATCATATCAGATGAATGCCTACCTCTTAATCACCTTAATGTGGCAAGTGAATGAACTCTGCAGAGAGCTGGAACAGTTTACATGCTTGTATGTACGTCTGCGTGGTTTCCTCCCTCCCCTGCCAAACTATGCATATATATGTATATAAAACTTTTTTAGTCCTTTTTCCTGGTCATTTTCTGTGAGGCAGAAGTTAATGACTTATTTTAATAAAACTACTCCTGGCATTTTAGGAGAAACAAAATTGTCAGTGGAACAGATCTTGTAAATCTAGAAATGCTGCTGCCTGGGTCTGGCAAAATAACCAGTGTTTCTACAGGAATTTGGTTTGTTGCTTGTTTCGGTTTTTATCTCCTAGATATGGGTGAGTAGCCCACACAATGCTACTGGTTACTACACAGTGTATGGAGAAGAGGCACTGCACGCTGATCACTTTACTGCTCGCTTGAGTTTTGGAGACACTCAGACCATATGGGCTCGGACTGGGTACCTTGGCTTTCTGCGCAGAACAGAACTTACTGATGCTAGCGGAGGTGAGAGAAACCAAATGTGCTTGTAGAGGCGTGTTCTGGAAACTACTTGGGGTAGCTGAGCTAGCAAAGAGAAAGCTGTCCTGCAAGTTTATCCTGACTTCCACCAGATCCTGTGCTGGATGTAACAGGAATCGTTCATTACTCGCTACCCGTCAGAGCTGGTAGAGCATGATAAAACACTCGACCAAGGGGTTCTGAGCTTTCCTCCCCTCTCATTTTCTAGGGTAACGACTTAACCTGCAGGGCACAGCTCTACACAGGATGCTTTGGTGGAATTGTGTTTCTGCCACTGTTCAAAGTGAAAGGGCTCCCTGTTCTTGAGAAAGCTGGTAGTTGAGAAATTGGAATCTGTGAGCAGGCATTCACAAAGGAAGAGAGGTGAGAAGGCAGCATATTACTATAGCAAGGTTTTGTGCCTTGGAGCTTTCTGAAAACTCATACAGAGATGTTTATCCCTGTGGAACAATCCCAGTTGTCCTTGAGTTTGTCAGCATTTGAGAGACTATATATGGTGAAATATCACAGCCAAGTATGCAGGAAACACAAGTCTGCTTTTTGTCTCAAGTTACATGCTTGGACAGAATTATAAAACAGGTGCCAGAAAACCCAAAGTTGAACTGAGCAGAGTTACTGGATGGACATGGCAATGAGGAGAGCATGGCCTTAGGAGAGCTTTGCTTATTTAACCTAGCAAAGCTAAGTCTGAGGAGATAGGCTGTTCTCACTGAATTAACTATGGGGAACTTCAGAAGCTGACTGTTGCTGGTATGAGAACAGTGGGTGTAAACTGGTTTCGAAAAGAAAAATAAAAGTTACCTCTGGAATTTGGAAAGTGTTCTTGTCGATTAGAGGAGAGAAGTTCTTTGGGAAGAAGAGTGGGACAAAAAGATGCTTTAACAGTGTATCTTGAATGGATTTATGACTTGAGATTACATGAGAAAAGGGACAGAATTAGATTACCCAGAAATTCTTTTTAGCCTGAATTCACTTGCTTGGAGTCAATAGGCAGAAGTCCTACGTGACCTCTTAATTCTCTTCTCTCCAAATGGTAGAGCTTGATGTGTATTACAGACTCTTTCTTCTAGGAAGCACCTTAGAACATCAGGAATAAGTACATACAAATGACCGTGTTTGTTCTGTAGATCTGATGGTGTTTCTAATGTCTGTGCTATGTTGCAGAGAGGCACGATGCCCTCTATGTGGTAGGCTCTTTGGATGAAACACTGGAGCTCAGAGGAATGAGGTACCATCCCATTGATATAGAGACCTCTGTAATAAGAGCACATAAAAGCATTGCAGAATGGTAAGAGCCTCAGTATTACTTTTCTGTATTCTTTTATTTTAAAGCAGCAGAAACTAAGCTTCATGGAACAGAGCTTAGACTGAGAGCTTGCTGTAGAGTGCTCATGAAAAGTTTGCATAGAAACTACTGCAGTGAGAGTAACTGAAATATTATGTCCCTCTTGACCCTGCCTCCAATGCTAAAAACAAAATAAAACCCACACCTTTATGAGAGTTTGATCTTCATAGTCTGAAAGACAGGAATGGCAGGATGGGAACAGGGCAGGACAGCCTTGACTTCCCTGACTGTCAGAATGTACATGTTTGGATGTGGTAAACACATCTTCAGGATTTCAGCCTGGACAAGAGAAGGCTCCTTAAGGGGAGACCTTAGAGCAGCTCCCAGTGCCTAAAGGAGCTACAAGAAACCTGGAGAGGGGCTTTGGACAAGGGCCTTTAGGGACAGGACAAGGGGAATGGCTTTAACCTGCCAGAGGGGAGACTGAGATGAGTTCTTAGGCAGAAGCTCTTTACTGAGGGTGCTGAGGTGCTGGCACAGGGTGCCCAGAGAAGCTGTGGCTGCCCCATCCCTGGCAGTGTTCAAGGCCAGGTTGGACACAGGGGCTTGGAGCACCCTGCTCTAGTGGAAGGTGTCCCTGCCCATGGCAGGGGGTTGGACCTGGATGGGCTTTAAGGTCCCTTCAAGCAAGTGCAAAGGACTTTTAAATACACGACTGTGGACATGTAAGAGAAAAGGACCTACTTATATTTTGTACATGGACAATTAAAACAAACAGTGGGAGAATATTCCAAGAACTTACAGTTTTCATACTTCCTGATTTATTAATATTTTCACATTAATATTCTATCACGTGTTCTCATTTCTTATATTGTTCAAGTACTTACAAAATGTCTTTCCAGTGAGTCCCTCTCTGATAACTAGCTTCATTTGAGTGTAGTTTTTTCTCACCACTTCTATCTGTATCATGCCAACAGTGCTGTGTTTACATGGACCAACTTGCTTGTGGTGGTTGTGGAGTTGGAAGGCTCAGAACAAGAAGCGTTGGACCTGGTTGCTCTGGTAACAAACGTGGTTCTGGAAGAGCATTATCTTATAGTAGGTGTTGTAGTCATCGTGGACCCCGGTGTTATTCCTATCAATTCCCGTGGTGAGAAACAACGGATGCACTTGAGAGACGGGTTTTTAGCTGACCAGTTGGATCCTATTTATGTTGCCTACAACATGTGAAAAGAGAAAAATCACACCAAGGCTAACGCACCAAAATAAAGGGACTTTCCACATAGTAACATTGGAACCCATTTTCTGTGGTTTTAAAAGCTGTTGAAAGGGAAATGGAGATGCTCCTCTTCACAGACGTTCATCTCTCAGATTGCATTTGCTTTCATAAATCCATTGTAACAGTTGCAGCTGACTTAGGATGGAGAGTTTACTGAATTCCTGAAGGAAGCTTGTGAGAACTGTGATGGACCAGTGGTTTTTCTACACCAATTCTGAATGTCAGAATTGATGCACTGCATAAAAGGACATAAAGCAGGGTGGGGAGAAAACACCAGCTGTGAGGACAACTCCTGGAAACAGTACTGAGTCGTGAGTACCCATTTGGAGTTCACCCTCCATGTGATTGTTTGCAATATATTGGCAGTATCTGGGTTCAGGCGTCACTTTCAAGACTGCACACATCTCTGCCATATTCTCTACTGTAATGAAAGGAATTTTGCACATATTTGCAATTTTAAAAATGCAGCCTTTTTATTTGAAATCACTGAGTCGCCCCCATTCAGAAGAAATTCAGTCCAATCCCAGATTCAATATAACAGCAATTATGCTGCTGTTCAGCTTTTTTTGTACCAAGCGAAAACAAATACTGCAGCTGTAAAAACGTTACTTATTGTGCCATGCTGGACTCTGTAATGCTATAAACTTTGTAATAAAATATAAATTAATATCCACTTTTAACCACTCGATGCAGGAGCCTTCACTGCTCTTACTGTTGTAACTTCAAGTTGCTTGTTTTCATAGCATTAGCTGTGTTCTGCCCTGCATAAAAACAAGTATTTGAAAACTCATTCCAAAGCCAACAATCTCTGAATGTTTCATAGAAATGTTTATGAAGCATGGTCTTATATGTTTTCCCTGAATATCCTATGTTAAAATTTATTATAGTGCTTTTACTGGGGTTTTTTCCCCACCATGGAAACTATACTCAGTGTTAGTTAGCTTGATCTGCTGTGGTACAAAATGCCTTGGTTTTCAGACTGTCTTGTTCAAGCTGCAGTATCCAGTTGGTTGGCTCACACTCAGCTGATGAGAGTTATGAAGTTTCTGCCTGATCTAATATTGCAGCGCACCTAATTCAGAAAGAGAATGTGAAGTGATTCAAATACTTCATGTATTTGAAGGTAAGACAAGACTAACAAATAATTATTTTTATAGAGTTGTTGAAGAGCTACATAATTTCTTTTATATATATATACATATATATATATATATAATGCATGAGTTTGGCAGAAGAGCCAGGTTATTCTGCAAGGCAGTTCTGCCTGGATCAGTGCCTAAGGAAGATGGATGTCACTCTCCCAGTATGAGGGTATCAAATTGACTCTTTGTCAAATGTAAACTGTAAAATCTTCAACAAAAAGCTTCCATCTACAGTAGTCCTTTGCCCTTGTGGTGTCTGGCTGTGGTGTATCATACAGCTGCATACTCTGACTGTAATTATGTACAGAACTTGAGTAACTTATTAAATAACAGCAACCTCTAACAGTGGGCTGTGGGACACTGCTTGTGACAGAACAGCTGGTGAAAGGAAAGAACTACCTAACCCCATTTTAATAGTGTGGTTTTTTAGCACATAAAGCATTGTGAGATTTTTGTATTGAGCTATAGCTGGCAGTGAGACGAGTTGCCTTGTAAACTAAACCTAACGCAGAAAGCACATTAAACAGTTCAAAACAGTCTGGCTTGCTGAGTGCCGAAGTGCTGTTAGATCAAAACCGCAGCTCCTCCGTAGTGCAGTTTTCACCAGTGTTTTGGAGAGGTTTAATGCCTGAAGAGCCTTTTTGCTGCAGAATTTCATTGCAATTAAAGCAATTGCACATCCTCAAAGCCTAGATGTTCCCGAGTTTACTCTGTTCTCAGTATATATCGCCATGCGCTGGGGCACGGCACTGCCCTGTGGGGGGGTCCTCCCCTCAACTGGCAACTGCCACACACCGAAGGGGGGGGAAACATCCCTCCCCTCAGCAAGGCCGCACTTACTTCACACAGCAAAGCCAGCGCTGAGCCGGGCAGCACAAAGGGAAGACGGCACCAGAGGAGCCGGCAGGGACACGACTCCGCCTCGCCTCCGCTGTCACCCACCTCCGGAGGGACAGGAGGCGCACCACAAAATGACGGCCGCTCCACCCCGCTTCCTGCCGTCACCACCGTGCGCCGCCGCTTCCGTATGGGGCCGGACCGGTGGTTCCGGGCTTGGGCTCTCGCGGAGCGGCCCCACGGGTGGGAGCAGTGCGGGGAGGCGTTCGCGCAGGCGAGCGCGCTGGCCAAGCACCGCCGTGTGCACAGCGAGGAGAAGCCGTACCGCTGCCCGCGGTGCGCCACAGCGTTCGCCCTCCCCTCGGGACTGGTTCTCCACAAGCGCACGCACTGCTGCGCGCTCTGCGGCAAGGCGTTCATCGCCTCATCGCACCTCGCCCTGCACCTCCGCTCCCGGAGTCGGGCGAGAGGAGCTCCGTGCGCTCCGCCTGCGGGAAGGCTTTCAAGCGGCGCGGGAAGAGCCACGAGGCGCGGGAGCCTCAGCGCTGCTGGCTCTGCGGCAGAGCCTTTGCGGGGCCGCGTACCTGCGGCTCCACATGAGGGCGCACAGCGGGGAGCGGCCGTACCACTGCTCGCTTTGCGACCGCGCGTCTGCCGGGGTTTCTGCCTTTGAAAGACGCTGTGAAAAGCGGCAGCAGGATGAGGTGAGGCCTGGTAGAGCCAGGTCCGTAGCCACCAAGGCAAAAGCACCGGGTGGTAATGAAGAGCAGGAGCAGAAACAGCAGCAGCAAGGTGACGGTGCTGAGCAGGCTCACCAGGCTGACCCGAAGCAGCAGCAGGAGGTGGAAAGGGTGTAAAAGTCACTGAAACAAGAACTGTTCTTGGTCCTCCACAACGTGGCTCACAGGAAGTAGCGTCTGGTTTAGTTCTTACCGAAAGAGAAGGATGTGCTGCACGAGACCGTGTTTCCAAATGTGATGTGAGGTTCAGCATCTGTGGGGCGCAGCACATGCATAGGAATCTGCTGAGGCTCCCTGCAGTCACTGTGCTGTGCAGAGCCCTCTGTGGTTACCCCCTGCTCACAGGCCCCAGTGGTTTTGTTTGGTGTCAGCAGCATTTTCTGACACAGACTTCCAGGGGTTCCTGACCAAAGCACCTGCTTTAACTCAGATTGAATGGGGAATGCTGCTTTGCGTGCAGAAATAAATAAAAGTTGTAATCTATTAAATGAAGGCAAAGGTTTTGGAAGAGGCAAGGGAAGTGGCACAGAAAACAGATTTGTACCAACAGTGGGGTTAGGAAACAAACGTGAATTTGTCTTGCAGAACGTGTTTTGTTTTTAAAAGCACTGTACATGGTGAGAAGATGGCATCTTTGAGCCTTTTCAGGTTTCTCACTCTTAATTACAACAAGGCATTGTACTCTAGCATAAAGATAATGCTGTCTGTGAAGTGCTTTTAGAGCATTCTAGGTTTTACTGCCAGAGTAACTTCACTCACCTTTCTCAAAACTAATGAAGAAAGGTGCCAAAAATCTGTCATTCATCTTAGATTGAACAAGTTTGACATTTGAAATGTCAGCGTGTAACAAAGGTGCAAGAATTTGTTTATTTACTTATTTATACCTGATCTTTCAGGAACGTAAAATGTAGCAACAAGGGAATTCTGAGCCTTTCACTGTCACCATGCTGAAGGAATGAGGCAAGATGCCACAAAAGGGTTGCTGTCCAAGCATCACGCTTCAGATATACTCTGGGGTGTGAGATTGGACTCCATCGAGTGCTAAGTGACTTTGCAGACATTATTAGAACTGCTGTTACTGCAGCCAGTGTTCTTGTGAGCCAGCACTTTGTACTGACATTTATAAGCTCCGTACAGCATCAACACTACTATGAGGCTGCTTTACGCCTTTATGTATTGCTTGTTGTTACCTTGGAAGCAGCAGGAAAAAAGGAAGCAGTGAGTTCATTTGAAGTGCACATTCCTAATTTTCTGTTCCATCTCCCCAGTTCTCTGTATCAAGTCCCTGATTATTTTAATGCTGTTTCCCTGCCACTGTGTGAAAACATGTTGTATGCGCTTTAAGGATCTGTTTGAGAGGCTTCTGGTTTTGGTTTCTAGAGCATATTTAAAACTCCATTTTAAGGCCAGAAACTGAATTTTCTGAACACTTGCACGTACAAAGTATTGCCAGAAACCATGTCACTAGGTGACAGAACTAGGTTACATCTAAGAACTGATTTACAGCTAACACAACTGCATTAGATAATGCTCTTAACCTTTTGCACTTCAAGATTTACTTGATGCTGGGTATACTAAGGTTTAACTCTTTTTGTTGAACTGGTGTTTCTATTCAGCTGGTGAATATGCTCTAGATATTTCCATGGTCAGGTATTTCAGATGAGATGTTTCTAAGGCAGTTTCTTTTCATGACAAATTCTAATGTAAAGTTTTGTTGTAGTCTTTAAATCCTGTTTGGTGACCAGTTGTGTTGTTTAGGAGGGACTAGGCACACTGGGGCTCATTTCCAATTCGGTTATGCCAGTGCCATATATAAGCAGAGTTCTATCTTTTTATTTCAATACATGTTATTAAAATAATATACACCACTGTCTTTTCCTTCAGTCCCTTTTTAATCCTGTTCTCACCTAAACATAAAAGTTTTCTTATGAAAATGAAAAATACTTGCTAATTTTCTAGTGTTCCTTAAAATATGCTTGCACAGTAGTGATTTGTCTTTACTTCTGGCATTTTTCTCTGCCAAACCCAGGTAACAGTGCCGTGGTGGTTCTGTCTGTACTTGGAATGTGGCGTGCCCACATGCAGAATCAAGATTTCAGTGACAAGCAAATATAAAAGTGGCCTTTTAAAGATCAGGTTTATAGTTTATCAAGGTGTATAGTTTTTAAAGATCGGGTTTATATCAGGTTGCTGCTGAATCGTTTTGGAGGTGGTTTGGTTTGGTTAAAAAACTTCCCATTTTGCTCTTCTACTTCCTTGCTCTGTCAGCTGCCTTCCCCTTGCAGTCCACACTGTTGGGGGTGCAGATGATTTCGGACTTTGCACCATAAAATCCAGTGTTGAGAGTACTTCACAATGGAAAACCTGCAAATGCGCTCTAATGCCCCGAATGTTGCAGTACAGTGCAGTACATCCTTCTGATTTAATATCTGTTGGGGGAACAACTTCAGTCTGTGGATCATTCACTGCCACTTCCTTAGGAAGCACGTTTTTCAGTGTAACATACAGAGGGAGCAGGAAGGTGCTTCCATGTCACTGCAGTGCTGGGATGCAGGAGCACGTCTCGGTGCCACAACAGCGTGGAGCTCTCAAGGTGTGGGAAATGTGAAGTGCTTTGTTTGTGCCATTGTTTTACTCCATCCAGCAAGGCTGGGAATGTTCCTTCCTGGGGTCTGTAAAAATCCACCGTTACTTTGCAGATGATTTGTGGAAAAGGCATGTTTTGTACTGGAGATCCGTTATCTGTCTCACTGTCATTCCATGAATGATTCATCCTGGATGCGCTTCTGTTGACAGGTAACAGGATGAAGAACGCTTTTCAGGTGTGCTCACAGCAATGATCAGCACTCCCAGTACAGTCAGGACGCAGTGTGGGTTTTTGGGGGGTCTGAACAGCTGACTACCACCATGTGGGTATGACAAGAGCTGCATGAGGTGTTTTCCTGGGATTCTGTCTGTGGTGGGAAGTTTCTGTGGGCTTTTGTCCTGTCTTTGTCCAGTCCTTGTCAGGGCAGGTGTTCCTCCCACACCTGACAAGAGGCACAAGTTCTGGGTGTTTAGATTGAATATTAGGAGCAATTCCTTTCCCAGAGGGTGGTCAGGCATTTTAACTGTCCCTGGAAGTGTTCCCAACTCTGTAGACAAGGGCCTTAGGGACATGGTTTTGTGGTGGCCTTGGCAGTGCTGGGGTACAGGTTGGACTTGATGATCTTAAAGGTGTTTTCCAACCTGGTCGATTCTGTGATTCTCCTGTGCCAGGTAAAGACTCTGTGAGTTCCCAGAAGTGGGGGTACCAGAAACATGCATACCTGTGCTGTGTCATTCCCTGCTCCTACTTGTCATTGCTCACAAGGGAAGGACAGCCTGCTCCGTGTCTCCCTGGCTCTGCAGGCTTCAAGCCATGCTGCTGCACAGTTGTGCAGAGCTGCTGAAAAGGCTCAGTCTTGGGGAAGGATTCCTCACCATGGGAGCACTGCTGGTGAGGTGAGACAGAAGGCAAGTGGGACTTGGAGACCTTACAGGCAGCCTCACCAGCAGAACCTTGTGTAGAAGCATCTGACCCCTCTGCTGAACTCAGGTTCAGGCTTAAGAGAGGGTCCCATGAACCCTGCCTAACCGTGGGGACACTGGGACAGGCAGCCTCCCCATTCATTGTCCTCCCATACTGCTTCAGGTCTGTGGAAATGTTGGAAACAGCTGATCAAGATGAGGATGTTAAAAATGTGGTGGAAGTAACTCGGATGCTAAACAAGTTCTCAGCAAATGGACACTTCCCTGGGATGGCATAGCTGGGTTTTAATTGCAGATGCAGTACAAGATGTTGTCTTTCTTGTGTGCATATCTGCCCAAGTGTCTACTTTCACAGCTTGGGGGAGGCAGATGAGAATAGCAAGATGGTCCCTGTGCAAAGACATGTCACTTTGTGCATGAAATCATAATGAAATGTGTAATGAGGTAGAAAAAAC